CATGTATTTCTTGGTTTAAAATTTTGCCTGCAGCTTCTGCTATCCTGAAATGTAACCCCATCTTTAAAAACTCTTGCTTGTAAGCCACTAGGGAGTTCGGGTCTTTTTTTTTCTTTTCTTTTCTTTTTTTTTTGAGATAGAGTCTTGCTCTGTTGCCCAGGCTGGAGTGCAGTGGTACAATCTTGGCTCACTGCAACCTCCACCTCTCAGGTTCAGCCAATTCTCCTGCCTCAGCCTCCCAAGTAGCTGGGATTACAGGCATGTGCCACCACGCCCGGCTGATTTTTGTGTTTTTAGTACAGACAGGGTTTCACCATGTTGGCCAGGATGGTCTTGAACTCCTGACTTCAGGTGATCCACCTGCCTCAGCCTCCCAAAGTGCTAGGATTCCAGGCATGAGCCACCGCGCCCGGGCTTAGGGAGTTCGGGTCTTAAGCACTAGCTGTCTGTCCTCCTTGCTAAGCACCAAACAATAAATATGCTTTTTCCCGCTGCAAATCTCAGCATCAGTGCCTGACTTTCCTGCAATGAGCAAAGGCAGACCCCAGTTGAAGTCGGTGACGGTGTCACCCTGACTACTCTACAAGGGCCTCCCTGCCCTGAAACCACAATGCCTCTGGGCCTGTCCCTGCACTGAGGACGAGGCCGAGCCCGGAGTCCAGGCCTCCTCTGAGCCACAGCTGTGGTTGGGCTGGCAACTCTGCATCTTCACGATGTAGAAGCTCCCTGACCTTTCCCTCTGTCTCCCCAACTCAGGAAGGACAGGCAGGGTGAGGTGTCCTCTAGTCTCAGTATTTGAGCCTTCTAAGCAAGGCCCAGTCCCTGCCAACAGCCTTCTGGGGCTCTCACTGATCCTGGCCCAGAAGAAGGCCAGGCTTTGCAGATGCAGAGCCTCCCCTGATCCATCCCTTCCAGCCCAGGCCTCTGGCAGAATAGAGCCTGGACCAGAACAGGAGCCAGGAGGCTTCATCCAGCTGGCCCACCACCTCCACCCTGTCCCAGGAGGCTGGCCCCACCTCCCCCAACCCTCAGTGGAGCAGCAAGTAGGAAACAGGGGCACCTGGGAGGCACTGCAGTGTTTCCCAGCTGTTTAGTGGGTGGTGATCAGCATTTTCAAAGTGCAGTAAAACACTTAAATGTCACAGCGCATTGCACATGAGTTAAGCCCTATGCTGGGGGATATGTTCCGGGTTGAGATGTTATCAAACAAATTTGAAAAACACTGCTGCTGAGGGCCTGGCCTGAGCCCCCTAAGCTCCCCAGGTATCCCGGCCCAGCTCTGGTCTGCTCACCTGACTGAGGAACTGCACCTGACACACTGCCCGGAGCTCCTCTTGGGTCTCACACCTAAGCTCCCTCACTCCACCTGTCTGGCTCTACTTCCCCTGCAGAGACACGGGCTGAACTACTTGGCCCTGGACTTCCCGAGGGGCAGCTCATGCTGCAAGAACACGATATGGCATTTGGAGCAAGGGAGAGATGCACAAGGCGCTGTGAGAGCCCAGAGGAAGGCCGGACGTGATGCCTAAACTGAGTTCTCCAAGATGCTCAGGCGGCCAAAGCAATGGAACGGCACTGGCAGAGGCCCGGATGTGTGAGATCATAGGGGCCCTGCAATGACACACATGGTTTGTGAAGCTTCTAAGGACCCTTTGCTGCTATGTTCCCCTCCTCATCCTAGTGAACTCTGCTTCTCTCTCAAGGCCCAGCTCAGTGCCCTCTCCCCATCCCCAGGGTCTCATCTCGCTCTTACGCAACTCCCCACCTCCCAGCTCCCACTCAGCTTCTCAGCTGTAAGCTTCCTTAAGGTAGGAGCCAAGCTGAGGGGCCTTTTTATCGCCCACAAATCCCCACCCAGTGCATTAACAGAAGGGCCCAACAGGTATGTCAGAGTGGATGCATGAAGTTCATAGATGTGGCAGTTGTAGCTCAGAGTGGGAGTGCCTGGCTCAAGGTCACACAGCAAGTTGTGGAGTTGTGGTGTAAGGCACAGTCCTCACTCAGGGCTGTATTGTGATCTTGTTCTACGATGCCAAACCTGGGCACTTTTGTCCAGCTGACGTGGCAGAGAATGCTGGAAGAGGAGTATTGGTGTGAAGGTTGTGGGGAGGGTTGAGAGGGTCACAGATGCAAAGGAGCAAGGCCTTCCTGGATGTGCTGCCCAGAGTCAAGCCCTACTCTTAGGGCATGTGAGCCAGGCTGAAGGGCTCAGGTCTGACACTATGACAAGCCAAGGCCCTCGCCAGGGGGACAGCTATGTCCTCTGGACATCTCTCCTGGGGCCACTGTGACATGGAAGTGGCCACCAGCCTCACCCTCTGTTTTATCCCACAACCCCTTTACGCCTTACAGCAACCTTAAGGAAGCCAAGGAAGAGGGTCCCATTCTCACTCACCCAATTAGGACACTCAGGAGCAGGAAGATGCAGTTTGTAGGGACAGGACAGGCTTATGGCTTCCTAATCTATGAGCGTGACAGGAACATAGAGGGCTTACGAAATCAGCAGCACTGACACTCCGCAAAGCCACGCCTCCATTTCCCCATCTAAGTTCGCTTCCAGCCCAGGACTGCAGAGCCAGGACTGCTGCCCATGCTGGCTGGGTCTCCAAGTAGATTTCTTCTGAAGGCCATAAGCCATGAGGCAAGGGAGGGACAAAGTAAAGGGAGTCTAGGGGAGGGGAGCTGAAGCGCAGCTCTTACCCACAGCAGCCTCTGCCCAAAAGATGGCACGCATAGAATCCACCTCACCCAATGTTCAAGCCTGTAGGCCCTTCCTCCCCAGTCACTCCTGCTCCACCACTGCTTGTACCAAACCTCTCTAGGCCTAAGTTTCCACATGTAAAAGCAGAGAGTGGCTGGGCGTAGTGCCACAATGCCTGTAATCCCAGCAATTCAGAAGGCTGAGGTAGAAGAATCACTTGAGTCCAGGAGTTCAACACCAGCTTGGGTAACATAACAAGAGCCTGCCTCCCAAAAAAAAAAAAAAAAAAAAAAAAAAAGAAGAAGAAAAAACGCATCAACACGGCCAAGTAACTTCTTTGCAAATCACAAGTGCTAGAGCCCCTTCCCTCTGCTACTGACCTCTGCTCCCTCTCCAAGCAGCCTTCAGGGTGAAAAGGCTTGGACGGCACATGGGGAGGCCACCACAGCTGCAGACTGCTTGCAAGGCTGAGGATACCACGGCTCTCTAGCTGGGCACTTCCCTCCACACCCAGGAGTCAGTCAACCAGCTGCTCTCTGACCCCCTCACCACCGGGTCTCCTGCCCAGCGCCTCACACATGTACACACACACCCCTTCATTGACTCCAGCCTGTCTCGCACCCCTGCTGGGCTCCCCCAGCACAATAGTCCTCTTGTATTCCCTGCCCCCACCAGGTCCCAGACCTGCTCTCAGGCCTGCCTGTTTTCCCAGCCTCTGGCAGGTTCCCCCCACCCAACCACAGAACTCAACAGCAACGTTGAGTCCCTAGCCACTCCCCGCCCTTTTAACCCTCCTTGTCTTCTCTCCCAGCTTTCCAAAGAGTTGCAGTCCAGCCCTGGCCCTCCTCACCCCTCCTTCATCCATTGGGCCAGGGTGGAATCATAAGCAAACCCAGGTCTTGGCCAGCTCCTCCTGCAGCCCTGGACCCCTCAGGTGAAAGGAAAATGTTAAGAGTTGTTTTATGTTTTAAGAGAAACCAAAGGGTGAGAAGCTTTGCCTGAAGGAGTGAATGTTTCTTGAGTGTACTGTTAGGTACTTGTGCAAGGGATATGTTGTAGGGGCCCTCCAGGTGCTCCCCATAAAGGCAGCATACGTATGACATCATATGCTGTCATCATATGCTGTCGGAGAGCCGACAGCCTTGTAGTTTTTTCCCAGTGTAGAAAATAATAGTCCTGTCTTCCAAGTAGGTGAGTTCAGAAGAGGCCTGATAGCCACCCTCTCCAATGACCCCACCCTTATTGCAGTAGCTGGCTGGCAGGAAGGTTGGCAGGACTGTGTTCATCCTTCAGTGTTCATCCCGCCTGGGAGTCAGGTAGCCTACAGCGGTGTTCTCAAACTGGAGCCTGCATCAGCAACACCTGGAGGATGAAACAGCCTGTTAGGCCCCTCCCCTTCTGCTTCGGATGCAGTGGGAATGGGTGGGACCTGAGAATGTGCACTTCTATAAGCTCCCGGGTGATGCTGACGCTGCTGAACACTTTCATCCATAGAGATGCTTCTCCCCGGCTCAGCCAGAAGCAGTTTTGGAGCCAGGGGAAGAGGAGACTGCTGACCTTGTAAGATAGGGGTTGATACTGAACCTCAAGCCAAAGGGGCAGTCTCTTCAAAGGTCTGCATGTGGTGAGTAGAAGGCTCTGAACCTCACATTAGTGAACTTGGGGTTCCACTACTGGATCTTGTGATCTTTTTTTAAACCACATTTTCTGATTCCCCTCTTATGAGCAAGCCAGGTACTTTACATATCTTATCTCTACTCCTTACTCCCACTATGCAAGGAGATATCCCTGAAGCTTGCAGAGGTGGGATCTGAACCCAGACCTGATTTTAAAGTCTAGGCTCTTAACCTTTCTGTGATTCTGCCTTAAGAAACGAGGCAAATAGCTTGGGCAATGAGAATGATGAAGGCAGGGAAGGAAATAGAACCCTTTTTTAGATAGCTGACATGTCCAGGTCTGCCACAGAAGTGGGGACATACAGGTTTTCCTGCTCTCCATCTAAAGCTACCCATCTCATACTGCAAGAGCCCAGTTCCTTCCCTCCTGGGCCCTTACTCCTGGATTGCTGGCTCCTGGATTGCCAGGCCTTCCCTGTCCTGTTCACTGCTATATTCCCACCAACAAGCATCATTCCTGGCACACTTCACGGTACCAAAGGTGTTGCATGAATCAACACATTCCCATGCCTGCAATGCCCCAAGACTCAGCCAGTTGCCAGGATTCTCCCATCTACACCTTAGGTGGTCAGGTCCCTGTGTGAAGTTGGAGAACTACAGTCAAATCAAGAGGCTGGGAAATATACTTCTTAAAACTGATTTTAATATCCTTCTTCCCTCCCCCACCCCACTGGGAAAAGGCTAAAACAATCTGGATGGGTTTAATTACAAATTAATACATACTGTCATTGTGTAAAGTAAATCAACATTGGGGCAACAAGGGACTATTGGAAAAAGTGAAACCCATATTAACAAAATATGTCATGGAAGAACCCCACTTAGTGATTTCACTGGCTGCTTGAAAGACAGTCAATGGAAAGGTCAATGTTCTGCATGTTCTCTGGGGCCTGCCTGTCCATGCAACGAAAGGAGGTCTTGCCCAGACTCAGCCAAGCCTAGTTAGCTCCAACCAGGCCCTAGACCAAAAGCAAGGGAAGAGGGCATCCTTTCAATAGGATAAGGGTAGAAAGGGCAGATTGACACATAAAATCCTGCAGCTTCACTTAAAAGCCCACAGGGAAAAAGAAAGCAGGAAGTTACTGGGAAGCCTTGAAGAAAGATGCAGCATTTTCTCAACATTAAAAAAAAAATGTTAAAAAATTTAAAAACAAACAGAAATCAACTACAAGGTCATTGGAGAGGGAGAAAAAAAGGAATAGAACTTCATTGTTTTCAGTAAGTTTAACATGGTCTCGGCTTCATCCATGTCTTCATTATGCAGACACCATCCTCTCAGCACTGTGCTCAACCTGTGAGACTCTTTTCTTAGCAGCTTGAAGGAAATGTTTTTTTAAAAAGGTACTATACACTCATATATAAATGCACACGTTTATATGTGATGTGTATATACATATAAATTGTAATAAAGTAGTTTTAGAAAGCTGGGGGCACCAAGGCCTCTGGGGCTGACTTCCTTGCATTCAGAATTCCACAGGACAATACCTACCCAAGAACTTCTCTCCAATTTGAAACACTCCATCTTCCCTTAAGATCGCCTGATACGAGGAGACTGAGGCAGGTCCACAAAACAAACAAAGGTCCTAGAAAATGTGTCACCAGTGACACTGTTCACATGTGAAAGGAACACTAGAGTCATGAGTTATTTGAGAGCTCTCTACCCTTTCTGACTCCCCCTCCCTGCCCAGAGAACTTGCAGGCCGGAATACTACATCTTTAAATATTTCTGGCTGAGCCCTCTCGCCACATATGTCAGTAACATTCCAAGCTGGCGACCACATGTTCAGGCTCTGGCTCCCTTCCTCTCTACTGAAGAGTGCTCTGCTGTTTCAAGGGCACGGTGGGGCCACCCGGCTCCCATTTCAGCTCCATCTTCAGTTGATCATACATCTCAGAAACAACCAAATTAAAAAAGAAAATTGGTGCCAAAAGAATCTTCATATTTGAAACGCCTATTTCTCCTTTTTTTTTTTTTTTTTTTCCTGAGACAGAGTCTCACTCTGTCGCCCAGGCTGGAGTGCAGTGGTACCATCTCGGCTCACTGCAACCTCTGCCTCCTGTGTTCCAGAAATTCTTCTGCCTCAGCCTCCCGGGTAACTGGGACAAGGTGCATGCCACCACACCAGGCTAATTTTTGTTTTTTTAGTAGGGATGGGGTGGGTTTCACCATGTTGACATGGTGAAGAACTCTTGGTCTCGAACTCCTGACCTCGTGATCCACCCACTTTGGCCTCCCAAAGTGCTGGGATTACAAGCGTGAGCCACCACGCCAGGCCTGAAATGCCTATTTCTTTTGAGATGGTTTTTAAAATTCCATTTGATGAATTTTTTAAAGTGAGTTAGACAATGTGTGTACATACACACAGAGACACACACCACCACACACCCACAAAATTCAGAGGCTTGGGGGGAAGGTTGTTTGCTGCCAAAAGATCTAACAGAAGAAAGCTTATATGCTGATCAAGTTTTAATAACATGGTTAACAAGAAATGTACACCATTTAGCAAGCACACAAAGACTGTGGGTAGGAACTACTGATCCCTGGAGTGTCTGGCTCCCAAGCCCATCTTCTGCCTACCTTTGGCATAGCTTCATAGTTACTACATTCAGAGAATCCAAGAGGACTGCATGGACAGATGAACCTTTATTTAAAAAAATAGCACTTCAAATAAATTAAAAGGGACAACCGTCAAGTGTTCAAATTGTGAAGAAATAGTTGAAAACCTAGAGAGACTCCAAGCTGCAGTCTTCTAACCTCATTCTTTGTCCAATGGCAAACCCCCACACATCTCAGTACTCCCACTCAATTTTTTCCCTACTGAGATGAGGGAAGCAATTGCAGACAGGAGACCAGACGGAGGAGAAAGCTGCATCTGATTGGAATGAACATTGCCACGTACTTGCTAATACGGGTTTCACTTTATGACCAAATGTATTCTTTCAAAAATAAAAAAGGGGAGAGGGAAGCTGCATGTTTTTAAAAATTGAAATTATTTAGGGATAAAACACTAACTCTAGTGCCTTTAACGGGCAATAGCAACTTTTTTCCTCCGAAGTCAAACACCATCCCCAGCTGAGCCTTTGTGCTACAAGCTTTTCAGGAGATGTTACCTAAACTTTATTAAAAGAAAAGAACAAGTTTAAATATAGACACTGGACTAGCCCAGTCTGTATTTTCAAGTCCACATTCTTCATCTGAAGCACTGCATCAGGGACCCCCCTGAGTCTGCATGTTTTCAAGTTCACAGTACATGGAACCAGTTTTTCTTTTTAATTTTTTCCTCACTCAGAGCAGCCACACACAGTGGCCGTTGACGCCGGAACCTCGGGCGGGGCCTTTTCCTATGAGGCCTGGCCGGAGCTGCCCAAGGTTTCTCCTCAATGAGAATCGATGCTGTCATGCTCTATGGATGGGAAAAAAGCAAGAAAATAAAAGCACCTGGTACAGGTTTCATCAGATCCATTCGGATTCGCTATGTTCCAAACCCGCTGCTGAATGCCATTTGTCCACTTTGTGTGTGTTGAACAGTTTGTGGCCTTGGAGTCTGTCTCAATTAGAAGAACTGTTATTGGACGCCCCAGAGGTTGATGCAATAGCAGCTCCAGCAGGGCTACTCGTAGAGACTGACTTTCGGATGTGAGGCAACAAGTAGGGATCACAGGCCAGCTGCTGGACATCAATGCGGTCCTCCTTTCGGTAGGCCAAGCATCGTCGAATAAACGCCTGCAAAGGAGAGTTTCTTGAAGATGGAGGCAGATAGTCTTGGCACCCCTGGAGGGAACCCTAAGGCTATTGGCTGCCAGGGCCCATAGCAAATATCTCCTAAAGAGAAGGAATTTAAGGCCTTCCCCAGAAACCACCAGGCAGACCCAAAGAAAACAAGGGAAGGAGAAGCACCAACAACAGTACCTCTCTGCTGCCACTGATTCCTTCCCAGACAGAAAGGGCTGAGCCATTACTGAAGGGAGGAAAAAGGAAGCATGACCTCTAAATACTCCTGCCCCCAAAGCACTAAGACCAACAGAAAAAAAAAAATCTCTCTTTGTCTTCGCTGGTTTGGATGGGAACAGTCTAACTTCATGGTCCTCCATCTACAAACCATGACCTCAAGTGAACTTCCTGCGGAAGTGAAAATTCTATCACCATATGAAGTGTCAGGAGACACACAACGGCTAACACTATGATGTGTCACAGGTGATAAAATCATTTCCCTATGTCGTAAAGGGAAACCTGAAAGGACTTGCATCCACGATAACACTGTAGACCCAAAAATGCAGTGAGTGGGGTTACACACGGAATTCCAGTTGACTACAAATATGGAGGCTATGCAGTTTTAGTTTCTGTAAGTCTTAGCATAAAGGCCCTTATATAGATTATCTGTCTTGTCCTGCTTGTTTTCTTCCTATTTTTTAGCTAGTTCTATTTAATGAGTTTCAATATAACTATTTTAAATAAATTAATTTTTAAAAATCTAAAACATCATTATTACAGAAAGTCCGTATTTTACACAAGGGTGACAAGGATGTGATGTGTCGGTACACACAGGTTCACTGGCTCTCTCAAATGGACTGCTCTGGCGGGGGATGTCAATGCAGAGGCTGCATGGGTGCAGCAGGCAGTATAAGGGAACTCTATACTTTCAGTTTTGCTGTGAGCCTAAAATTGCCTAAAAAGCAGAGTTGATTTGAAACAAAATCTACAACATGAATCAAGCTATTGATTTTCTGGTTTTCCCCCATGTTTGATAAACAAATTAATAATACAATGCCAATCCTGGCTTTTCAAAATCAAAGACAGGTACTGGCTTGGTTAAAGCATTTGGAAGATAAAAACAATTCATAGAAATGAACATAATGATCCTTGGCCTTTAAAAATGAACTTTTCTAGGTGAAAGGCATAGAATTGGAGTTAAACAGGTTACCTTGGGTTAAATATTTGTCAAACTTTTTTTTTTTAACTTTTTTTAGAGACAAGATCTTGTTCTGTCACCCAGGCTGGAGTGCATTGGCATGATCACAGCTCACTGTAGTCTCAAACTCCTGGGCTCAAGTGATCTTCTACCTCAGCCTCCCAAGTAGCTAGGACCAAAGGCGTGCCCCACCACATCCAGCTAGTTTTAAAATATTTTGTAGAAATGGGTCTCACTATGTTTCCCAAGCTGGTCTCAAACTTGTGGCCGCAAGTAATCTTGCCACCTCATCTTCCCATAGTGCTAGGATTACAGGTGTGAGCCACGGCACTCAGCCAAGTAAACTTCATTTACCTTGAATTTTCTCTGTAGCTGCCAGTGTCAGCTCTTAAAACAGCAATCAGCTCACAGAGTTGCCCTGATTAAAACCTGCAACTGCCTTCCCTCACACTTACCCTCACCCTCCTGCCTCTCTTACCACCTTTCCCTTTGCTCTGTGGACCTGCAAAAAGTTCATTCTCACATCTGAGCTTCTCTCTGCTAAAATGCTTTCCCCTGCAGATCTATGGCTCCTGCAAATCATGGCTCCCACCTTCATACCATTCAAGATACCGCTCAAAATGTCACTTCATCTTTGAGGCCTTCCCTAACCATGCCATCAAAAAAGAAGTTTCTACCTTCTCATCTCCCTACTTTGACTTATTTCTTCATAACATGTGTCACCATCTGAAATGTATCCACTTTTTGTTTTATTGTTTTTCTCATAAGTGGAATATAAACTCCTTAAGGGTAGGGAACTGGTCTGCAGAGTTCACTGCTACATATTTGGTTTCACCCCCACTACCCAGAATAGTGTCTTAGTGTTTCATAGGCATTCAATAAATATTTGTTGTGGGAGGACAGGAAGAGAAGAGGGTAGGATTTGGAGAAACAGGGACACAGGAGACAATTCATGGAAACATTTGGAGATACTTCTGTATTCTTCATAGCAAGTTCATCTAACAGTCTCTAAAGTTTTGGAGACATTTGTTCACTATTTATTGAATAAACACAAAAATTTGACAAAAGTTATATAAAGAAATAGTCTTGAAAAACCTGACAGATTAGGAGAATTAAACATCTACCAGATAACGTATTCAAGTCCCTCGGTGTCAACTCTGGGTGGCAGCTGCGGCACGGGTAGTAGAGCAGCTAGCTAGAGAATCTGTCAAGGGTTAGGTGCTACCAGTCCTCTTAAACCTCACAACCACCCTTTTTTTTTTTTTTTTTTTTTTTTGAGACAGGGTCTTACTGTGTTGCGGAGGCTGGAGTGCAGTGGCTATTCACAGGTGTGATCATAGCACATTACAGGTGTGCAGCGCCGCACCTAGCTACAAACACCTTTTAAGGAAGATGTTTTTGTCTCTGTTTTTATGGATAAGGAAAAGCAGCTTAAAAGGTTTAACTTGCCTAAAGTTACACAACTACTACTGAGTGCAGAGCTGATACCAAAATTAGGTTAACCAGGCTTCAAAGCTGAGCCTCTCTCCAGCTCTCCCAGGACAGTCAGGAAATCAGCATTTGCCTTAGGGATGTGTTATGGGACTTCTCCCTTGCAGATTTGATTTCTTGGTTATGCAGTACTTAAACTGTTGAACAATGGGGACAGGGAGTAATCAGTCAGGAATTACAAACAACTGCTAAAGATGTTAATTCTTACCCTGTGACATGGAAGCTATACCACTTGGAAAAAGAGGCTCTTTCCCAACCTATGTCACATAGGTACGCTGTGAAGGAACAGCAGAGATCAAACACCAAAAAAAGAGATTAGACTTGTAACTGGCTGGGCACAGTGGCTCACACCTGTAATCCTAGCACTTTGGAGGCTGAGGCAGGTGGATGACTTGAGCCCAGGAGTTTGAGATTAGCCTGGGCAACATGGCGAAACCCCTTGTCTACAAAAAATACAAAAAAAAAAGCCAGGTGTAGTGGTGCACGCCTGTAGTCCCAGCTTCTCGGGAGGCTGAGGTGGGAGGATCACCTGAGCCTGGGGAGGTCAAGGCTGCGGTGAGCTGTGATAGTGCCACTGCACTCCAGACAGGGTGACAGAGTGAGACTCTGTCTCAAACTGACAACAACAAGACTTACAACTGCTCACTTAGAGTTTAAAAATGCTGAATGACCATAGCATCAAATGGGGCTGGCTACTACTCATCTCAGAAGAACTGGTTAATAGAGATAAAGAAAATAGCACGGAAAAAGTAGGCTGGCTATTAGAATTTGGTTTACAGATGTGGCAAGGATGAATGATTATTTATAGCTTCCTTTTCACCACTTCCCATTCTATGCTTCCTTTGCCCCACTGACTTTGTTATGCCCTCACCAACTGCAACAGAATTTACTGCCTACCATTCGCTTGACATTTAACCCTATAATGTTGATATGGTTTGGCTGTATCCCCGCTCAAATCTCATCTTGAATTGTAGTTCCCACAATCCCGTGTCATGGAGGGACCTGGTGGGAGGTAACTGAATCATGGGGGTGGTTACCCCCAGGCTGTTCTCATGATAGTTCTTACGAGTTCTGCTAGTTTTATAAGGGGCTTTTCCCTCTTTGCTTGGCACTTCTCCTTTCTGCTGCCATGTAAAGAAGGATGTGTTTGCTTCCCCTTCCACCATGATTGTAAGTTTCCTAAGGTCTCCCCAGCCATGCTGAACTGAGTCAATTAAACCTCTTTCCTTCATAAATTACCCAGTCTTGGGTATATCTTTATTAGCAGCGTGAGAACAGACTAATACAAATGCCTTAGTACTCTTATATAATTTCTCCTACATGGGCATCAGCTTCCCAAATTAATCATAATCCCTGAATACAGATGAAGCTGAGTATCTTTCATGACATCCACATACCTACCTGTTCTCTCTCAACTGGAGTCTGCTCTCCCTCCCTTTCTAACTCTAGGGAGCCTTTCTGGATTAAAACACACACCGATCAACATTCCTTCTACTGGAACTGGGGATGGGGTGGTCAGGGTGTAAGCAATGTTCTTCTGTCAAGTGTTCTTAGGAATATTAATTCATGCCTATCCTAATGTTTTCAATAACTCCTGAATTTCACACTGAAGAATCCATTCACTATTGGGGATGGGGTGATCAGGGTGTAAGCAATGTTCTTCTGTCAAGTGTTCTTAGGAATATTAATTCATGCCTATCCTAATGTTTTCAATAACTCCTGAATTTCACACTGAAGAATCCATTCACTATTACCCAAAGAAATAATACAGAAAGCAAAGCAGTTGTTTCTGTTAGCCAATGGGTCAAACAAAACTTACCTTTGCTTCAGGTGTTACTACTGGCTTTGGCGGGAACTGCACTTCAGTAGCTTTAAGAATCGTATTCTCTTGTAGGATGTCTTGCTGAGACTGGTTATGGCCAAAAGGCTGTCACATAAAAACAAACAAATAAGGTGGGCCTCTGATGAAAATTAAAGAGAAAACAATTCAGTACCACAGGGAAGGAAAAGGAGAAGACATCTTCTAATATGAACTGCTGCAAGGAACTCTGGAGACAATCTCCTCTAGTTCTCTCACTTTATAGATAAAGGGGGTGAGAGCTCAGAGCGTATGTAACTTGCTCACAGTTCAACTTCCAGGTCAAAGCAGAGTGGGGACCAGAAGCAGCATCTCCTATATCCTAACGTTTTGCTAAGCTTTGCTCACACCAAAGAAAACGGAGATCCAGAGCAGAACCCAGCAACCTCACCTGCTCTGAGGGATACGTGAGGCCCTAAGAAATACACACCTGTGCCTCAGGACAATTCAAGAAACAGAAAAATAGAAGGAAAGGAAGTGAAAACCAAGAGGGGTAAGGAGAGAGCGGGAACAAGAAAGAGTTAGGGTTACTTAATGGTTTAATCTATGCTGAGCTGCCATTTTCTAATAAACTCTTAAAAATAAGTTCAACTCAAGTCTCTCTATACTGGTTCTACTGAGATGTCTCTCAAACAGTTATTTCTAGATAATTTCTACTACTGTTATCAGCAGTAATTCAACATTGTCAGGGAATGGAAATAATAATTAAGCCTACTACCTCTGAATAGTTTCCCTATTTTAGAGAGATGAGATAGAAAAGAAAAGAAAGACCAAGGAGAAGCTAAAGAGGAAAGTATAATCTGAATTAAGAGCCTGGTCTGGGCTGGGCGCGGTGGCTCACACCTGTAATCCCAGCACTTTGGGAGGCTGAGGCAGGCGGATCATGAGGTCATGAGATCAAGATCATCCTGGCTAACACGGTGAAACCCTATCTCTACTGAAAATACAAAAAATTAGCCGGGATAGTAGCAGGCGCCTGTAGTCCTAGCTACTTGGGAGGCTGAGGCAGGAGAATGGCGAGAACCCGGGAGGTGGAGGTTGCAGTGAGCCGATAGCGCACCACTGCACTCCAGCCTGGGCGACAGAGCGAGACTCCAACTCAAAAAAAAAAAAAAAAAAAAAAAAGAGCCTGGTCTGAGGAATGTAATCAAAATATTAAGAATTCAAAGGAGACATGGGAACTCCCATCTGGTTTATACCCACAGCCCACTGGGAAACACTGAAACATACAAACACACAAAAACAGGAACATAAATATACAAGTGGATCCTAATATATACATTTATAAGGCATGTTCACAAGGAAAAACAAATATGACAATTCATTAGGTATAGTTTACCACTTGTTGAAATGATATGTGACCTTGATCAGAGGTAACAATGAATACGTCCTGACACCATCTCCCCAGTATAGAAATATAAAGCATGCTTTCATTAATAATAGGCTCAATTAATGGGACGGTTGGCAATAAAGATTCTGGGGATATTTTGAGCTTGGCGCCCACAGGTTCTTGGGAAGATTGTATACTTTAATAAATATACGATTTATGTAAATCCCTATACATACTATCAGAACAAATACATGTTCAAGATCTAATTGATAACAGTAAAAGTGCATGATTTTAACAGCCCAGCAGAACTCATTAGGTACCCTAGGGTTGAGGATTTCTGCTTACGAATAAGGCTTGTATTTATTAAGTCTTTATTTTCTTTAAACCACCCTTTTAGGATTCTATTTTGTATAACCTAATAATTAACTTCAAGAGACTAATCCATACCAAGGCACTGTATGTGTGTGCCACCCAAGAAAGAAATCAAGCTTCTCCGTCAACCTTCTAACTTACCTTCCTTCCATAAAGACACTGATAGAAGATCACACCCACTGACCACACATCAACTTTATTTGAGATCTTTGGTGGTTCTTTCCCAACCACAAAACACTCTGGTGGTAAATACCTGGGACAAAGAAGAAATAAAAATTCTTAGAATAATGATTATGTAAGTTTAAGACATGTACAAAAAGACAAAATAAAATATCTTGTTGAAAACAGAAATATCTTTTTTTTTTTTTTTTGAGACAGGGTCTTGCTCCATCACCCAGGCTGAGTACAGTGGCGTGATCATGGCTCATTAAAGGCTCAACCTCCCGAGCTCAGGTGGTTCCCCCACCTCAGCCTCCCAAGTAGCTGGGATTAAAGGCAGGCACCACCATGCGCAGGTAGTTAAAAAAAAAAAAAATTGTACAGGTGGGGTCTCACTGTGTTGCCCAGGCTGGTCTCAAACTCCGGGACTCAAGTGATCCTCCCACCTCGACCTCCTAAAGTGCTGGGATTACAGGCGTGAGCCACCATGCCTGGCCAATATGTGAATTTTAATAGTCAACTTACACCTACATGGAGAGTCAATGAAAAGACACTCTAGGCGAGGTGTAGTGGCTCATACTCATAATCCCAGCACTTTGGGAGGACAAGTCCGGCAGATTGTTTGAGCTCAAGACTTTGAGACCAGCCTGGGCAACACGGCAAAACCCCATCTCTACTAAAAATACAAAAATTAGCTGGGCCTGGTAGCACACCCCTGTAGTACTTGGGAAGCTGAGGTGGGAGGATCACTTGAGCCTGGTGGAGGCTGACTGCTGTGAGCCGAGATCATGCCACTGCACCCCAGCAACAGAGTGAGACCTCATCTCAAAGAAAGAAAAGACACTCTAACTTAGGGAGGCAGTAATGTCCCTACAGAGCATCAAAATACAGTTCTCAGTTTCCTAAGAGTGGTAAATATTCTCACTAGTCCCACTTCACTCACTCTAAGCCTCCTTTCCCAGGGTCGTGCCTAATATAAGTGTCATTTGACAAGTTTTAAAAAGGGGGTGGGGAGACACAAAAGAAGCGCATTCCCTTTTAGGATAGCTTCATCAACAAATATTAAATGTAACTAGAAATGGCGTGGGTTTCATGTTGCCAAAAGGAGATGTCTCTGAAATAAGTAAATGTTTTAAAAGTCCAAAGGAATTCAGGACCCAGTACAGATATTTGAGGGCAGAGGTTATCCTACCTTCTTATGGTAGCCTCTTATGATTCCAATATCAAAGATGACAATAAAGTCCTAATTTTCAGAAGACACTTCTTTTCTTTTAGAGATGGGGTCTCACTCTGTTGTCCAGGTTGCTCTGGAACTCCTGATCTGAAGCGATCCTCCCACCTTGGGCTTCCCAAGTGGCTGGAATTTACAGGTGCACCACCCACCACACCTGGCTCAGAAGGTATTTTATATTTCCTACTTTAAGGGTGATCAGGGGCTTACTGGAAAACTAACAAATAGTGTAGCAAAGGCCAAACTAGTTGTTAGAACAACTCATTCCTCATCTAAATTCCTTCCCTCCCCACCACTGGTCTCTGAAGAAACTGTTTAATATGTGATAGCCAACCACACCAAATTGTATGGTATGGAAGGTAAGTACCTCTTGTATTTAGGAAACCAAATAAATTCAGCTGGAGTCTTAGCCACATCAAGGCTGGAAGGTAGAATTCTGAAGATTACCGATTGATTTCTGAAGATTTCATACTAGCAAAATCAATTCTGTGGAAAATTCTGTATTTGGACCCTATGCTCATCCTGGAATACAACTTACAGATTGAAGGGGACCACATGAGTTCAGAGGCAAAATATTCCTTCTCTGATCCATCTCTATCAAATTTAGTTTCAGATGACAGCCTTTCTTTCTTTTTAAAAAAAGTTATAGTTTCATATTCTTGTTTCTTATTTTTTATTAGTAAGAGACTTTTTTTTGCGACAGGGTCCTGCTCTGTTGCCCAGCCTGGAGTGCAGTGGCGTGATCTCAGCTTGCTGCAACCTCCGCCTCCCAGGTTCAAGCAATTCTCCTGCCTCAGCCTCCTGAGTAGCTGGGATTACAGGCGCCCGCCGCCATGTGTGGCTAATTTTTGTATTTTTTGGTAGAGACGGGTTTTCACCATGTTGGCCAGGCTGGTCTCGAACTCCTGGCTTCAAGTGATCCGCCCGCCTCAGCCTCCCAAAGCGCTGGGATTAAGTAAGCCACCGTGCCCAGCCTAAGAAACGTTTTTGGATGATTAAGACCTTTAACTAGATTATTATTTTACAATGAAAACTTTTAGCCAAAGCACACATTGAGAAATGAAATATAGGACTCATTAAGAAGGGAAAAAGGCAAAGAAATAAAGGAAAAAGAATTTGTAAAAAGAATAGATCTTCCAAGAGCTACTGAAACCGCCCTGAACCCTAGTTTTCATAGTTCTTGATTTTTCTGGGGTGGGGGGGGTATGGAGTCGCACTCTGTTGCCCAGGCTGGAGGGCAGTGGTGCAATCTCAGCTCACTGTAACCTCTGCCTCCCAGGTTCAAGCAATTCTCCTGCCTCAGCCACGCAAGTAGCTGGGATTACAGGCGTGTGCCACCACGCCCGACTAATTTTTTGTATTTTTAGTAGAGATAGGGTTTCACCATGTTAGCCAGGCTGGTCTTGATTTCCTGACCTCATGATCCGCCTGCCTCAGTCTCCCAAAGTGCTGGGATTACAGGCGTGAGCCACCACACCCGGCCAATTCTTGATTTTTTTTTTTTTTTTTGAGACGGAGTCTCACTCTGTCACCCAGGCTGGAGTGCAGTGGCGTGCTATAGGCTCACTGCAACCTCCACCTCCCGGGTTTACGCCATTCTCCTGTCTCAGCCTCCCAAGTAGCTGGGACTACAGGCACCTGCCACCTTGCCTGGCTAGCTTTTTGTATTTTTTAGTAAAGACGGGGTTTCACCGTGTTAGCCAGGATGATCTCGATCTCCTGACCTCGTGATCCGCCCGTCTCGGCCTCCCAAAGTGCTGGGATTACAGGCTTGAGCCACTGCGCCCGGCCAATTCTTGAGTTTTTAATATACATAACTTAAATATGATCTTGGATAAGTAACAAATATAACCTTAATTCTAAAATGATCATTTAAATGTATTTATAACTTTTTTTTGGCAGTGGCAGGGAAGAACAGGAGTTGTTGAACTCACCCAAATGCAGAAAATAAGTTAGCAAGAGTTTTTGTTTTTGTTTTTTGAGACAGTCTCGCTCCATTGCCAAGCTGGAGTGCAGTGGCGCGACCTTGGCTCACTGCAACCTCAGAGTAGCTGGGATTACAGGCATGCGCCACCATGCCTAGCTAATTTTTGTATTTTTAGTAGAGATGGGGTTTCGCTACATTGGCCAGGATGGTCTTGATCTCTTGACCTCGTGATCCGCCTGCCTTGGCCTCCCAAAGTGTTGGGATTACAGGCATGAGCCACCCGCCAGGCCAGCAAGATTTTTAGAATATAAAAAGCCCCGTCACTTGATTGTACATGTCTGGCATATCCCTTTCTAGGTCTCAGTTTCTCCATCTGTAAGTGAATGAAATTAATTCTTCACCCAAATAATACGGAAAATAATAAGCATCCTAACTTACTATCAAGGATTTTGGGAGGAGAGTAAAAGACAGCTCTACCATACTAAACTGTGTTAAAAAAAATACGTAGTTGCATATTCCATCACAATCAAAATCCCCATACAAAAAACAAATTATTCTCAAGGCATAGTCTATGTGTCGCTTCTTTTTTTTTTTTTTTTTTTTTTTTTGAGACGGAGTCTTGCTCTGTCACCCAGGCTGGAGTGCAGTGGCCGGATCTCAGCTCACTGCAAGCTCCGCCTCCCGGATTTACGCCATTCTCCTGCCTCAGCCTCCCGAGTAGCTGGGACTACAGGCGCCCGCCACCTCGCCCGGCTATTTTTTTTGTATTTTTTAGTAGAGACGGGGTTTCACCGTGTTAGCCGGGATCGTCTCTCGATCTCCTGACCTCGTGATCCGCCCGTCTCTGCCTCCCAAAGTGCTGGGATTACAGGCTTGAGCCACCGCGCCCGGCCTCTGTGTCACTTCTTTAAAATAAGTATTCAGCCAGGCGCGGTGGCTCACTATGAAAACTATGGCCGGGCGCGGTGGCTCAAGCCTGTAATCCCAGCACTTTGGGAGGCCGAGACGGGCGGATGACGAGGTCAGGAGATCGAGACCATCCTGGCTAACACGGTGAAACCCCGTCTCTACTAAAAAATACAAAAAACTAGCCGGGCGAGGTGGCGGGCGCCTGTAGTCCCAGCTACTCGGGAGGCTGAGGCAGGAGAACGGGCGTGAACCCGGGAGGCGGAGCTTGCAGTGAGCTGAGATCTGGCCACTGCACTCCAGCCTGGGCGACAGAGCGGGACTCCGTCTCAAAAAAAAAAAAAAGAAAAGAAAACTAGGGTTCAGGGCGGTTTCAGCCTATATTCCCATCACTTTGGGAGGCCGAGGCAGGTGGATCACCTGATGTCAGGAGCTCAAGACTAGCCTGGCCAATATGGTGAAAGCTATCTCTACTAAAAATACAAAAAAATTAGCTGGGCGTGGTGGCGGGTGCCTGTAATCGCAGCTACTCGGGAGGCTGAGGCAGGAGAATCGCTTGAACCCGGGAGGTAGAGGTTGCAGTGAGTCGAGACCACGCCATTGCACTCCAGCTCAGGCAACAAGAGCGAAACTCTGTCTCAAATAAATAAATAGATAAATAAATAAGAGAAGTATTCAACGTAGTAGAGTTCTGCAGCCACCAAATACTGCAAATAGTTAACTTATAATTTGTTATACCCTTCAGGATTATTTTTATCTGACATACTGAGGATGGTGATTATGACAATATTTCTACCAATTTGGAGACTCTTCAAACCTTCATAGAAACCTCTAACACTTAATCTTCTCAGAAGCCCTGTCTTACTTTAAATTATTAAAAATCTCAACTATAATCTAAAGTAGAAAGAACAGTAAAATGACCCCCTAAGTAAGCACCATCCAGCTTCAAGAATTATCAACATGTGGCCAATCTTCACCATTTTCCCCTACAGACTACTTTGAAGCAAAATCCCTAGCATCACATAATTTTTACTTAAATTCTAATCACTGAATTTTTGTAGGTAAGCAACTATAGCAGTAACTATTTTAAATGCGAAAAAACTGTGCCTTAAAAAAAAAACAAACTATCAAACACAAAGCTCAAATCCAAATTCCAGTGAATTTATATAGCAGAGGTATAGACCTGTTTCCAGAACTTTCAGCAGCAGATATTTTTGTATCACTCAGTGACAGGAACACTAGCCCACAATAACCACCACAGTGAATAAACACTGTAAATGTAGCTTCTATTTTAAATCTATAATTTCAAAGTTTTAATTTAAGGACTGACTTTTTACTATAGGTACCATTTTCACAAGCAGTAAGGAGCAACAGAAACTGGGGCATTGTGTCCATGGTGTTATTGGCAAGCTTCATGATGAGCACAGGGCTGATGATGTGTGTTGTGAAGACCACGCCCCTCTGCTTCCTCCTCTACCTCTGATTCCCAGACAGTCAGTACTCCCTGCTAAGGTCCAGGACCCTCCAGTTCCAAAGGTAAGTGATTTGACCACCTTCCCTGGGGTACAAATAATATGTGTTGCCCCTCTGTTGGTGCTATAGAGCCTTCTTTTGCAACTCTTGAAAGAAATCCCTCATCCCATTAAGCCGTGAAGAGAGACTTGTATTTGGACTAAAAAAAAATTGGGGGCCATTCTTTATATACACCAATATGTGGCTTGTGTGACCACCTCAAAATGGAAGAGGAAGCTTTGTTAACACACTTTTATAACCATAGAGTTAAAGGCCTGAGTTTCAGGTATCTTTTATGGTTCTAATGGCCAAAGGTTATTGTAGGCAGAAATAGAAGCATAAAACTGGCAGGCTGAGCTAGCTTGGGTGGGGTGGCTAGGGAAAGACAGGTGACAAGAGATGGGAAGAAATGTGCCTCAAAAACTTTCAGAACATGGCTAACAGACACGGATAAACTTCTGGTAAATTGTGGTCACTTTTTCCTGTATAGATTTCATACGCGCTATAGTTACGTTTCATTCTGATCCTCATAACTCCCTACGGTCCAACATCCTCAGGCAACTCTTGAGACAAATCCCTTATCCCATTAACCCATGAAGAGAGACCTGTATTTGGACGAGAAAGATTTTGGGGCCATTCTTTATATACACCACATGAGCAACCTTGCTCTCTACTGACTTGCAAGGCCAACTCTGTGCAGAAAACATACATTTCAAATACCTGGCCACATATAAGCTCTCCTTCTTCTTAAGGGTTTTCAAGAAAGGAAAGAAAAATTAAGACAAATTAATGTAAATACCAAGAGTCAAACTGCTGAAAAGATAGTAACGATTTGGGGAGAAAGTCTGCTTTGGTTTATGGATTTTTGCCTAGCAGATAGCATACAGCGATTAATTCATTATCAACACTTCAGCAGAGCAGAGCCACATCTCTATAGCCAACCTGGCAGAGCTCCTGGATACCTACCAATAAGTACCAGCACCTTGTGATGTTAGCTCCATGCCATCCACTGAATTGTAGCTATCATCATCCATGATCTTCGAAAGACCAAAATCTGTAATTTTTATCTCTCCACACGCTGTACCATTTACTAAAAGAATATTACCTAAAAAATAAAAACCTTCATGAATAAGCAGAGACTTACCGATTAAGAGAAAAACCCAAAGTAATAGCAGATAAGAACTCAAACTCTCGCAAAAGCAAACATCCACATCTTGGGAATCAAGCAATCTGGACTCTGGATACTCAGGGAGAGCCCTCCGCATCTGCTGAAACTTTTTTTCTAAGAATCACCTGCTTAATGTGCCAAAACCACCACTATGATGAACTCTGGAAATAACAATAACTGGCTAAAGTAAAATATCCTTGTTCACTTGGTCAAAAATGACGGGACACTTTCATCTGAACTTTCAGTGAGGATCTCTAAATTACCCTGTTTAGAACAGTACTTGGGGTGTGGGGGAGGAATCAAAGAAAACATGTAAGGGAGCCAAAGCTAGCACCACAGCACCACCTACAGCTCCCATGGCAGGAAAAGTGTTGAATTCAGTTACGGAAAATTCATTCACAAAATAGCCATCTTTTAAAAAATTTCTTCATTATAATTAATGTTGTAGTCATCTGAGTTATATTCGAACATTAGAGAATAGTCAATGAGATGTAATATGCACCTACCAGAAGAGTAAAGCAAAGTTTACAATTTTGCAACACCAGAAGGTAAATGTGGACCATCTTCCTAATGCCCAAGCTAAGCTGTTAAGAGTTGTCTATAGAACATATGCAGATTTCTAAAACACAGCTGAAGATAATAATAAAAAATAGAGGTAAGGACTCTAGCTGCCCTGTACTCTTTGCTGATGACCATCAAACCTAGATAATAACCATACAAAAAGATGAAAAATTCTGCTTGAAATTTATTGAAATGGGAGGCACATAAGTAAAATAAGTTATTAATTTGGGGGCTCTTATCAAAGAGACCTGAAGCATAGGAACTGTTACGTAGTATGAGTCATGGGAAAAATACAAAACTGAACGTGCCGGAACAGTTCTTTCTTAATGAGACTTACATCATGAACTGCCCTGGCTGCAAAGATAAAGGTATTGTTTCTCCAGAGTATTTAATCCAACACACCCTCCTAAACCCAGTCCTGCTTGGCCAGGACTCTTTTTTCCCACACCTACCCAGGCAATCAAAAGTCAGATGTTAGTAGCCTGTCTTCGCTGCTGTGAATTTCTCTAACTTTATCAAATTAAAAGTCACTTATAAGACCAAAGAAAACCAACTAATACTATCTCCTAAAAGTCAGACATACCTGGTTTGAGGTCATAGTGTATGATGGGAGGTTTTATTTCATTTAAGTACTTTAAAGCATTCACAATCTGCATGATAATGGACCGGGCCTCTTTCTCCGACATTAATTTGTGCTGTTTCAGGTAGAAGTCCAGATCATTTCCCTCACAGTATTCTAATACTGTACAAAACCTAAAAACAAATAAACCAACATTTAACCATGGAATAAGAGCAAGCAGATTAAGACTACCTAAATCAGTCCCAGGTGAAAACTTCACGTCATTAGCTTCTCACTCCTTTCTTCTTTGTTCCTTAAAATACTCTTCGATTCTTTATTCAGTATTAGCTGAGGGGTTTCTAGTAAGAAACTGCTTATTCTCTTGAAGAGTCTCCACACCCTCAATGTTGGAATCTGTTGTGCTCGGGTTCACCCATGGCAGACCTCTTCTTGAGTCTAGACTATAAGAATACCGATAAGAACTATAATGTATTTAAGCTAGGTATCTTCTTGGAAGGGGCTCCTTTACACACCCATGTCACACATCCATGTCTAAACAACTAGAATGTGATCAAGTACACAATTCTCCCTTTTTTTTTTTGAGACTCTGTCTCACTCTGTTGCCTACACTGTAGTGCAGTGGCGCAATTTCAGCTAGGTATACAATTCGCACTGCAAACATTTTATATAACCCTGAGTGCTGACAATGAGGAAGAATCTAGAGTTTGCCCATGTCCCAAAAACTGACTGCATACTATGTCTCCTGACAGCTTGGCACAATACTGCACTACAATTTTTCTTAAACATAAGGTGTAAAAGGGCTTGTAAAGTATAGCATCTACGGTTCTAACAAATGTATGCGGGCTCTCTTTCCTTCACTTATGTCAATATATCATACCCAAACATAAAACCATATGGCATCTGTGGCATCACAGGTCATGTGCCTATCTTCCAAGGCATTATACTCTGAAGTAAGGTGTCCTGAACTGTGTGACTATCCCTGAGGGATGAATACCTTTTCAAGTATTCTAAGTTGTGATAATGTGGGTGTATCAGTCAGGGTCTAGCCTGGAAAAAAAACAAAACAAAACCACTTGATCATTTAAAACAGAGAGACTTTAATTCAGGGAACTGATCATACAGATGATGGAAGAGCTGAGAAGACAAACTGGTCAGTGAGGCACCCTGGAGATCATACAGCAGGAAGCCATTAGCACCCTCAGGCGAGCGGGCCAGAAGGGAGGAAATGGTGAAACCAGAACCCAGGGTCACCAGGGGAAACTAGAATTGCAGGATGGGAGAGGAGGTGGAGACCCCCTCCCATTTCTGCTTCACATTGGCTGAAACCAGCAGGACACCAATGGACACATGGGCCTGGTAAACACAGCCTACAAGGACTAACCCCCCGAAGATATAGAGCAGCAAAAGGGCGAGGAACAGAACTGAGAGCAAACAGGTTTAGGACTAGCGCTATGGGCCACTGGGCAATTTGAGGCCTTCATAAAGCACTGCAATTGAATATGGACACACATGGTCCTGTGGACTCCACAAACCGAACAATATCTTATGCCATCTTACGAAACATAGCAGGGCATTCTAGCCCTGTATCTGAAAACAAGTGTCTGCTATAATCCCAGCAATCTGGAAGGCAGAGATGGGCAGATCACTTGAGGCCAAGAGTTTGAGACCAGCCTGGCCAATACAGTGAAACTCCGTCTCTACTAAAAATATATAAAATTGGCCAGGTATGGTGGCGCACACCTGTAATCCCAGCTACTTGAGGGACTGAGGCACGAGAATTGCTTGAACCCATGAGGTGGAGGTTGCAGTGAGCCAAGATCATGCCACTGCATTACTGCCTGGACAACAGAGCAACACTCCATCTCAAATAAAACAAAATAAAATAAATGTCTGAAATTTATAGATTTCTCTGACCTGAGATTCTGAAATCTGAAATACAGACTCATGCTCAATGAAATGATTCTTTGACCCAAATGCAAGTTGAAAATAAAGCCTCACTTTCAGTCAGGCACAGTGGCTAAAGCTTGTAATCCCAGCACTTTGGGAGGCTGAGGTGGGCGGATCACAAGGTCAGGAGTTCAAGACCAGCCTGCCCAGCATGGTGAAACCCTGTATCTACTAAAAATAGAAAAAATTAGCCAGGCATGGTGGCGTGCATCTGTAATCCTAGCCACTCGGGAGGCTGAGGTAGGAGAATCACTTGAACCTGGGAGTCGGAGGTTGCAGTGAGCCAAGATGGCACCACTGCACTCCAGCCTGGGCAACAGAGCCTCAAAAAAAAAAATTAATAATAATAAAATAAAGCCTCACTTTTAATACCCAAACAATTCTCAGAAGATATTCTAAAAATCATGGTCTGACTTATTTTTGGTGAAAATTCATCATACATGCAATAGAAAGAACAAAGTAATCAACTCGAGAATAGTGTAGAACCAACTCAATTTCTCACATTAGTTAAAAGTGTGTATACAATTCAAAACAGCAGATAATTTGAGCCTGATTTAATAGTTCAGAGAGGGGGGTCTACCTAGTACTGAAGAAATCTACTCAAAGCAAAACAGTGATGTCATGACCTGCCCCTGGTTTCCCAATCCTGCCCTCTAACTACATCTTTTTAAAAAAATTCCACTCCATGTGAAACACACATGGCTAAGCTCAGTGCCAGGGCTATCCAAATGAGAAGAAGAAATCCCTGAGAGAATGGCCCAGGTCATGTTTCCAAAGGGAATTATAGTCCTCTTTGGGGTTATTTCTAAATGTGAGCCAGCGGTTTGCACAGCCATCTCTGAGACTGTTGGCTAGAACAGAGATGGCTGAAAACTCCTAGAATTACCATGGGAGGCTGAGGGAACCTGGAGTCTAGACCTAGGACATATTCCGATTCAGTTCAGACTTCTACAGAGAAACATTTCCAAATGTTGAGATGTATCCAACTAAACTGCTGGGTAAACCCAGAGGTACAGGAGCTTACCGATACCAAGTAACAAAATACAGCAATGACCACAATTACCAACGATCTCAGACAAGTCATTTAACTTCTCTGGTCCTCAAAATCCTTCTATAAAACGAAAAGGCTGGACTCAGAACCCTTCCTATTCTAACATCCTATAAGCCTATAAGCCTGTATTTCAACATGTTGCACTGACTGAGCCTTGTCTTCATTAGTGCCACATTTGTTGTCTCATTCTAGGATAAAATCATACAGCCAGTACTTTTTAAAAAAAGTCTGGCAATGTTCATAAAAGTCTCTGGGGTGAGCAGAAACTCTCTTGAACAGTCTACACTCACTAGTGCACGTCAGTGGCATGCTGGCACCAACTCATGTCAGTTTCCAAGAGCTGACTTAAATTTTCAAGAGTTTTGTGAGCGGGTTATCAAACCACTGGTAGGACAAACAGATAAGCAAAATGTGGTATACCCACAGGATAGAATATTATTTTGTCATAAAAAGGAATGAAATACCAATACAGGCTACAAGGATTAAACCTGACAACATTATGCTAAGTGAAAGAAGCCAGCAATAAAAGTCCACATACTATATGATTCCATGCATATGAGAGTCCAGAATAGGAAATCTATAGAGATAAAACAGACAGATTAGGGTGAGGGCAGAGGCATGGAATAGTGGAATAGAGGAATAGTAGTAAAAGGTATGGGGTTTCTTTTGAGGTGGTGAAAAAATTCTAAAATTGGCTCTGGTGGTTGTATATATCTATGAATATGCTGAAAACCACTAAACTGTATATTTTACATGTGTGAATTATACAGTATGTGAATAATAATTAAGATGTTTTAAAAAAATAAACAGGTGGTACATCAAAATTGGACACAGGAGGAATATCTCCACTACGGAAACTGGCAAACACTACAAATTAGCCCTGTCTCTCTTCATACCAAGCTGGTTGTTAAACATTTACTGGCACACAAGTGCATGGTCCTTTGGCCTAGAGGTTTCTTACTGACCCAAATTTGAATTTATGTTTGATCATTTGTCCACAAATTAATATATTTGGTTCCCTCAGAGGGTATGTCCTAGACCCAGAGTTCAGCTCTATTCCATGAACAATCAACATTGCAAGAAAATAATGTAACTGTTAAGGTAAAACAGCACAGCACTTACGAGTCAGTATCCAGTGAAAAGTAATCATACAGCTTAACTATTCTGGGATGATCCAGTTCTTTATGAATCCGGTATTCCCTACATGCATGCCTGTAAACAAAAGGGAAAATTAACAAGAAGGTATATTGGCCTACCTTTTAGAACTCTTCAAAGATCTTCCTAAATATTCAATCATTTCTCTATTGTCTCCACATGTTAATTCCATTCTGGTCCATCTGGTCCCTCATCTGACTTCTCTCTTTGCTCATCCTATTTTCTCTATTGGAATCTACCAAGCCATTGAGAAAATAATAGGTGCTTTGGCTCCGCGCAGTGGCTCACGACTGTAATCCTAGCACTTTGGGAGGCTGAGGCGGGTGGATCACGAGGTCAAGAGATAGAGACCATACTGCCCAACATGGTGAAACCTCGTCTCTACTAAAAATAAAAACTTAGCTGGGCGTGGTGGTGCGCACCTATGGTCCCAGCTACTTGGGAGGCGGAGGCAGAAGAATCACTTGAACCCAGGAAATGGAGGTTGCAGTGAGCTGAGGTCACGCCACTGCACTCCAGCCTGGCGACGGAGCGAGACTCCATCTCCAAAAAAATAAATAAATAAAATAATAGGTGCTCAAATATTTGTTAAGTGAACAGATGTCAACCCTTTTTATCCCTTTCAAGTTCATTCTATGATAATCACACCTCTTTTCCACTTATACTCAAGTATCATAGATTTTAAAATAACAAGGACAGTTATTTTCCCCCCTCCTCTAAAGCTGATACATGAAATCATATCTGTAAATGTATATATGCTGGGGTAACACCAAAGAGGTCATTTTTATCATGTAAACCCCTTAGGTTAAAGGATTATCTGTTACATAAATCAATTAGCAGTACTTTGTAGTTTTTGTTTTTAAATTCTTCTTCTTACAAAAATAATTTAAGTGCTATTAGCTTTACTTTATTCTAATAAAATATGAAATGTGAGATTATGGAACCCCAGTTGTCTTGGAATGGCATATTTGATGCAGTCATCCACTGTGTAACAACCCTTCGGTCAATGATGCTAAGCCACATATATGACAGGGGTCCCATAAGAGTATAACAGAGCTTCCTATGAATTGAGGAAGAAAAAAAAAAGTACAACAGAGCTGAAAAATCCTATCACCTGGTGACCCAGCAGTCAAGAGGTCACGGCACAATGCATTACTCATGCTTGTGGTGATGCTGGTGGAAACAAATCTACTGTGCTGCCAGCCATATTAAAGTCTAGCACATACAGTTATCTACAGTATATAACACTTGATAATGATAATAAATGAATACATAATTGGTTTATGTATTTACCATACAGCAGGCCCTTAAATAACATCATTTTGTTATAACGCTAACAAAAAAAAAAAAAAAAAGTCAGCCAGGCACCATGGCTCATGCCTGTAATTCCAGGACTTTGGGAGGCCGAGGCGGGTAGATCACCTGAGGTCAGGAGTTCCAGACCAGCCTGACCAACATGGTGAAACCCCGTCTCTACTAAAAATACAAAAATTAGCTAGGTGTGGTGGTGGCCACCTGTAATCCCCGCTACTCAAGAGGCTGAGGGAGAAGAATCATTTGAACCTGGGAGGCGGAGACTGCAGTGAGGCAAGACTGCGCCATGGCACTCTAGCCTGGGTGATAAAGTTAGACTCTGCCTCAAAAAAAAAAAAAAAATCAATTCCTGGTCGGCACCACTGTCCATGTGGAGTCTGTGTGTTCTTCCCCTGTCTGCGTGGGTTTTCTCAGGTTATTCTGCTTTCCTCCCACATCCCAAAGGCACATGGGTTGGGTTCACTGGCATATCCACATGGTCCCTGTGTGTGTGTGTGTGTGTGTGCATGCACCTGCCATGCAATGGGACGGCATCCTGTCTAGGGTGGCTCCCACCTTGCCCCTGAGCTGCTGATATAGGCTCTGGCCACCCTCAACCCTGAGTGGGGAATGAGTGGGTAAATGTTACCTTGTTTCTATTAATCTTTCTTAAATTTATATAAAGCTCATACATATTTCAACGTTTAGTATTACAAGTGTTTTAGTCTTTATTTAGAAGCTGGGTGATGTTTTTGTGACCAGGAATATGCCACAGGAACTTAACTCATTTATGTCAATTAGCCTATGGTAAAATTGGTTTTGTTACACCTTGTTTCCCTTAAAGTTGCAGTTTCCAAGAACCTATCATTGCTATTAAGCGAGGGCTTACTATACTGCACTTTTTTTTTTTTTTTTTTTTTGAGACGGAGTCTCACTCTGTCGCCCAGGCTGGAGCACAGTGGCCGGTTCTCAGCTCACTGCAAGCTCCACCTCCCGGGTTTACGCCATTCTCCTGCCTCAGCCTCCCGAGTAACTGGGACTACAGGCGCCCGCCACCTCGCCGGGCTAGTTTTTTGTATTTTTTTTTAGTAGAGATGGGGTTTCACCGTGTTAGCCAGGATGGTCTCGATCTCCTGACCTCGTGACCCGCCCGTCTCGGCCTCCCAAAGTGCTGGGATTACAGGCTTGAGCCACCGCGCCCGGCCACTTTTTTTGTTTTTGAGATCGAGTCTCACTCTGTTGCTAAGGCTGGAGTGCAGTGGCGCGATCTCAGCTCACTGTGGCCTTTGCCTCCCAGGTTCAAGCGATTCTCCTGCCTCAGCCTCCCAAGTAGCTGGGATTACAGACACATACCAGCACGCCCAGCTAATTTTTGTATTTTTAGTAGAGAGGGGGTTTCGTCATGTTGGCCATGTTGATCTGGAACTCCTGACTTCAAGTGATCCGCCCGCCTTGGCCTCCCAAAGTGCTGGGATTACAGGCATGAGCCACGGCACCTGGCCTGCACTGTACTTTTTAATTATTTAAATTTTAGAGATGGGGGTAGTGGCTCATGGCTGTAATCCCAGCACTTTGGGAGGTTGAGGCAGGCGGATCGCTTGACGTCAGGAGTTTGAGGCCAGCCTGGCCACCATGGAGAAACTCCATCTCCACTAAATATACAAACAGCAGCAGGGAGTGGTGGTGCGCACCTGTAATCCCAGCTACTTGGGAGGCTGGGGCAGGAGAGACGCTTGAACCCAGAAAGCAGATGGAAGTGAGCTAGATCACACCACTGCACTCCAGCCTGGGTGACAGAGCAAAACTCCATCTCAAAAAAATAAAAAAAAATTGTAGAATGTACTCCCATCTACTTATTTAAAAAAAAAAATTGTAACTATAAAACAAACTCAGGCAGGTCCTTCAGGGGGTATCCCAGGAGAAGGCATTGTTATCATAGAGGGTGACAGCTGCGTGCATGTTATTGTCCCTGAAGAGCTTCCAGTGGGACAAGATGGAGATGGAAGAAAGTGATATGGATGGTCCTGACCTGTGCAAGCCTAGGCTAATGAGAGTGTGCCTTAGTTCTTAACAAAAAAAATTTAAAAAAAAAATTTAATAGAAAAAAGCTTATAGAATAAGGATACAAGGAAAGAAAATATTTTCATACAACTGTGTACAATGCATTTTTTTAAAGTTAAGTGTTATTTACAAGAGTCAAAAAGTTTTATTAAAAAGGCAGTTTCCACAGCAAAAAGGTTAAACAAAGATTTACACTTGAAAACATTTTTAATAAATGTAGTGTAGCCTTTGTGTATAGTGTTTATAAAGTCTACAGTAGTGTGCAATATTATCCTAGACTCTGACTCACTCAGAGCAACTTCCAGTTCTGCAAATTCTATTAATGGTACAGGTGTACCATTTTTATACTGTATATTTACTGTATCTTTTCTATGCTTAGATATGCTTACATACACAATTAGTAACACAATTGCCTATAGCAGGGGTCCCCAACCCAGTACAGGTCCGTGCCTTGTTAGGAACTGGGCCACACAGCAGGAGGTGAGCAGGAGGTGAATGAGCGAAGCTTCATCTGTGTTTACAGCTGTTCCCCATAGCTCGCATGACCGCCTGAGCTCCTGGTCTGTCAGATCAGCAGCGGCAGATTCTCATAGGAGTGCAAACCCTACCGTGAACTGTGCATGCTAGGGATCTAGGTTGTGTGCTCCTTATGAGAACCTAACACCTGATGATCTGTCACTGTCTCCCATGACCACCAGATGGGACCGTTTAACTGCAGGAAAGCAAGCTCAGGGCTCCCACTGATTCTACATTATGGTAAGCTGTGTAATTAATTCTGTATATATTACAATGTAATAGTAATAGAAATAAAGAACACAATAAATATAATGCGCTTGAATCATCCTGAAACCATCTCCCCCCAACCCCGGTCCATGGAAAAACTGTCTTCCACAAAACTGGTCACTGATGCCAAAAAGGTTGGAAACCACTGGCCTATACTATTCAGTACAGTAACATGCTATACAGGTGTGTAGCCTAGGAGCAATGGGCTATACCATACAGCCTAGATATACAGTAGGCTATACCATCTAAGCTTACATTAAGTACACTCTGTGATGTTTGCACAACAAAATCACCTAATGATGCATTTCTCAAAACGTAGTCCCATTGTTAAGCAACATATGACTAACATGATTAGCATTTTAAAGGTACTTTTCTAGTTTAAAATCATTTCATCAGGAACAAAAGTGTACTGTATAGCCTGACATATTCATATTCTGAATTTTAGAAGAACAACAGAATATGCTTACACAATATAATTACCAATACTATTTTAAGAATGTAGTTCTGGCTGGCGTGGTGGCTCACGCCTGTAATCCCAACACTTTGGGAGGCCGAGGTGGGCAGATCACCTGAGGTCAGGAGTTCAAGACCAGCCTGACCAACATGGAGAAACCCTGTCTCGACTAAAAAAAAAATACAAAATTAGCCGGGGTGGTGGTGGTGCATGCCTGTAATCCCAGCTACTTGGGAGGCTGAGGCAGGAGAATTGCTTGAACCCAGGAGGCGGAGGTTGTAGTGAGCTGAGATTGTGCCACTGCACTCCAGCCTGGGCAATAAGAGCAAAACTCCGTCTCAAAAAAAAAAAGTGGTTCTTTTGCCTCAGCAAAAGGGTTCAAGCTATTCTTTTGCCTCAGCAATCTTATCTCCCAAGTAGATAAGATTTCAGGTGCGTGCCACCACGCCCAGCTAATTTTGCATTTTTAGTAGAGACTGGGTTTCACCATATTGGCCAGGCTGGTCTCAAACTCCCGACCTCGTGATCTGCCCACCTTGGCCTCCCAAAGTGCTGGGATCATAGGTGTGGACCACTACGCCCAGCCCAGATTTTCTTTTTTTTTTTTTTTTGAGATGGAGTCTTGCTCTGTCTCCCAGGCTGGAGTGCAGTGGCCCGATCTCGGCTCACTATAACCTCCGCCTCCGGGTTCAAGCGATTCTCCTGCCTCAGCCTCCTGAGTAGCTGGGACTACAGGCGTCTGCCACCACCCCTGGCTAATTTTTGTACTTTTAGTGGAGGCGGCGTTTCACCATATTGGTCAGGCTGGTCTCGAACTCCTGACCTTGTGATCCGCCTGCCTTGGCCTCCCAAAGTGCTGGGATTACAGGCTTGAGCCACTGCGCCCGGCCCCAGCCCAGATTTTCTATTAGTAATCATACACATCACCAAATCTAGCTCCTAAATAGGATGCATTACAATTTGTTTAGAATTTAAAGGCTTAGGGGCAATAAGCAGGAGAGGAAAAAGTATGTACATTTTTGTTTTACAAAACTGACTAAAAAATACATTCAAGAAATAGTAAAGAGAATTTAATACAATCTTGTTGGGTGTGGTGGCTCATACCTGTAATCCCAGCACTTTGACAGGCTGAACTGGGAAGACTGCTTGAGCCCAGGAGTTCAAGACCGGCCTGGGCAACACGGTGAGACCCCATCTCAAAAAAAAGAATTTAATATGATCTCATGTGCCCTGAAGGAGGTAGCACCTGATTAAGAGGGGTAATCGCTATGTCCAAACAATCTCCTACATGGAGCTTCTGCAACTGCAGAGTCACAGAATCATCAGTCCCCTTTCTGCCAGCACACTTGCATTTTAAATTACATTCCTTGTAATATTGCATTTGATAAAATAAGGGTGCTGCTGTCTTTGTTTCTGAGACAAAGACACAGTGGCTCAGGCTTGTAATCCCAGCACTTTGGGAGGCCGAGGGTGGTGGATCACGAGGTCAGGAGATCAAGAGCATCCTGGCTAACACAGTGAAACTCTGTCTCTACTAAAAATACAAAAAAGTTAGCCGGGCGTGGTGGCAGGCACATGTAGTCCCAGCCACTCGGGAGGCTGAGGCAGGAGAATGGCGTGAACCCGGGAGGCAGAGCTTGCAGTGAGCGGAGATCGCGCCACTGAACTCCAGTCTGGGCGACAGATGAGACTCTGTCTCAAAAAAAAAAAAAAAAAAACAAACAAAAAGTTTAAAAATCTAGGGACTAAACAGATCACTGTTTTAAGTTATTTTTCACTCTAGCATGCTATAAATGTATAGCACTTGACCCTTTTAACTTCTTGATTTTGTGCATTTTAGAGCAGAAACCAATTTCTCTTTTTGAGGTACAGAAAACAGAGTAAACAAGAGGCGGCAAAAATTTAAGAATCAAAATGTCATTCAAAGTCCTCGCCAATTAACGGAATTTGAAGAGTGTCGCTGAACCTGTGCCCAGCTCTAAACCTGCATCTCTTACTTCATCAGCAAGGCAATGACTGAGCCATGTTCAACTTTCAACTTATAATCCAAGGGATCCATGTACTACAAACACAGAGACTTTAATGAGAAACTGGAAGAAACTCATCCACCAAAATGTCTTTTACTCTCTTATAAGTTGATATATATTTAGATTTTTCAAAATGCTTGCTTTTATGTTTAAAAAATTAGAATAGAGTATCATACAAAAGCATACTAACGCCAATACAAATTACTTCTGCAAATAATTCTACATGAAATTTTTCCTACTGTAGAATTTTAAATATGTTATTTGAGGGAGTTTAAGCAGTTCAGTAATACTAAATTTTTAAAATAAATTTTTTAAATAAAATTTGTGTTTTTATTATGTGAAAGTAAAATACAATCAGTTTACTTTTTGTTTATGGTAGGAGGAGGAGAGGAATGAAGTGACAGAACGAAATTCAAAATACAACAAAACAAACATCTTTTATTTTCTTTTGAAATTTGCCTTCTTTTTTATCAGAATAAATGTCTTGATTCCAGATGGGACTGGGAGGTCATCCCCATGAATGGAAAAGCAATTAACAGACCTTACTAGCAGGTTATAGCATTTTCATATTTTACAATGTCACAACACTGAAGTATACTACTTTTTAGTTTAATACTGATTTTTTAAAGCACTCATCAATGTCTGTTATGTGCTTGATGTAAGTCTCTTTTTAGTTCAAAGCAGAAAATTCACCATTTTCTATAGCCTGAAATATATGACTATGATTTCATATCACTTAGAAAGCCAATTCTTTCAAAAGAAAGGTGGAGATACTTAAGAATTGTCCCCTCAGTGCTGCTTCCTGATTGGGAGAATAAAAAAAAAGAACTCCCCCCACCCCCCCAAAGCAAGAATGGAGGCCACGAGAACTCACACAACCTCTCCCCAGGGTATCTGCCAAATGGGAAATGCCCCCTCCTCAGATGAGCTCAAGCACCATGATCCCCTCTCTGATGAGAAAACAGAGTAGAAAGGCACCAACGCCAGCCTGGAACTTGAATAGCAAAGAACTTAAGACAAATAAGACCATCCCCTTCACGTGCTCTCTGACATCCAATCCATACCCGCCAGGACTCAGAGTGCTTGCCAACTGTTTGAAGGAGGGACAAGGCCCGGCTTCCACTCCTCACTGTTTCAAAAGGCTAGATGAGCAGAACACCCATCTGCAGTTGCTGTGGTATCCAACACTAGAGTTCTCTGCAAGGTCAGCCAGAAACCTGGATACTCAGACTAGGCAAAATACATACATGTCTCAGCACAGGAACTATGTTTTCGAGGTTGACCAAGGTTGGTCCCTAGAGGGCATTTTTAAAGAGAAGCCTGTGCTGGTCTAACACCCTTAGGCATTCTTAGGGTCTCAACACAGTAGGGGTATTGCTCATTTATAACTGGTCAGAACAACATGCGCTTTCCTTCTCCGAAGTGCTCCTGGCCCCCTCACTACTGCGTGCCACTCATCCCTACATGTCAAGTGACTGGAATGTTTTTATAATAATGTAACTGCCTCTCAGGAGCATCTGGACTGCAGCTGCCTGTCACCTAAGAAACATACGCAGGGTGCCACAGGTCATCCCTTCTCCCTCTGCTAAGCCCTGTTGCTCTTAATGTAGCAGGAACCTTCCCTTCTCCAGTGCTGAGCCCCACTGCCCATCTGTCTGGAACAGGAAGAACTTCTGGGTTCCTGATGAACAAGAGGTATAGAGCAAGAGTTGCCTCGGAGCAGGCTAGAAGCCAACTAAAGGGCTACTTCAAAGACCACTGTTTTTTCCCTTCCAAATTATTATTTATTAAAACAAAAACAAAAAACAAAACAAAACAAAACAAAAAAACAAGACTGCCTTTATGGAAACGAGGTGTTTATCAAAAAAGCCCGTCCCCTCCTTTCAGGGGCAGGACTTGTCTGATTCAATACTTGTACCAACAACAAGGAAACAAAACTAAGCCCAGTGGGGAACCTAATAGCAAATTAAGTCTGCATAGCCTCTAAAGCAAATGAGCCATGAACTCCAATGTTCAGGAGCTTGGGGGGATATAGGCAAAACCTGACATTAGTGGATCAAAGCAATTCCCAGCTGTGCAAATAATAACAATTCATTTTAAAGAAGCCCCTCTCCCCGCGCCCCACCCCAAGTACAGAAGAAGACCGCCACTAGTACTATTCTATAGAGAAGCAAGCACAGAAAGTGGGACCCTGAAGACCGAGAACTTTGAGATGGGCAAACTGCGACAGGGAGGAGAACATAGCACAGAGAGGCTGAACAAGTCAAACAGGTGCCACGAAGACACACCAGGTGCCCCCAGTCTCTTCCAGAAGGAAATGACTGAAGTAGCAGAAAGAACCCACCAGCAGCTCCCTAGGGTCTAGTTTCTACAGACAAGCAACCATGATTTCTTTTTTTTTTTTTTTTTTGACATGGAGTCTCACACTCGCTCTGTCACCCAGGCTGGAGTGCAGTGGCGAGATCTCAGCTCACTGCAAGCTCTGCCTCCCGGGTTCACACCATTCTCTTGCCTCAGTCTCCTGAGTAGCTGGGACTACAGGCGCCCACCACCACGCCCGGCTAATTTTTTGTATTTTTAGTAGAGACGGGGTTTCACTGTGTTAGCTAGGATGGTCTCGATCTCCTGACCTCGTGATTAGACTGCCTCAGCCTCCCAAAAAGCTGGGATTACAGGCGTGAGCCACCATGCCCGGCCAGCAACAATGATTTCGAAGGCTTTATTTACTACAGCTATTTCTAGCCACAAAGGAAAGGAAGGTTAAGAGTACTGGGGCTTTGGATTAAGGAAAATCTGGATTTAAATACTAGCTCAGCCACTTCTTGTTACTCCAATTCTGTAAGCATCAGTTTCCTCATTGTAATACTGAGAATACATTTATTATCTTAGGGTAGTTATGAAGATTACATAAAACAAAACCAACAACAATGCATGTAAAGCTTGTAGCATAATGCTCAAACTACAGGTATTATTTAATTTTAAAAAGTCAGACACTCAAGTATCACTTACTTGTGGTAATTCTCCTTTTTCTCATCTCTCCAGTTTTTATTTAACTGGTGAATTTTCACAGCTACGTATCTTTGCTCTGTTAGATCAAATGCCTATAAAGAAAGAGAATAAATTATATACTGGGCAAATGTTAAGAAGAATTACAGGCAACTGATGTGAGCCTTTAACATATAACATAATCAAAGTCCAAAATACATTATTAAATATATCACATACTTGTATCAGTCTTGCAACCATCTTCTTGAAACTTGTGATTAGATAATTTAGAAGTCTCCAGACACACTGGCACCAAGGGATTTAGAACATAAAACCAGGCCAACACCACAAACAGAAAGATAGCCCCTGCCTTCAGAATCATTTCCCAACCATGCTCTTTCTGGACACCATCTACTCCCCGTCTGGGACCCGTCTCTCTTAGGTTGCTCTTGTCCTTCAGTTGACACTGGGACTTTACAAACTTCAAACATCCTGCCACTTTTGAAATCCTAGGGACACACACTGTCTGCCTCCTGGAGAAAATAACCCCTCACAATATACTTCTTTGGCATGATTATTTACAAAATAACCCTGTAATTTGGCATATTGTTTATTAAAATAAAAAGAGAAACAAGAACAAAAAACAGCCCTGCCTTTAGTCCCATCTCTATCTGCTGGGCAAATAAAAAGTGGTTTTGTTGTTGTTGTTGTTTTTGAGACAGAGTCTCGCTCTGTCACCCAGGCTGGAGTGCAACGGTGCAATCTCAGCTCACTGCAACCTGTCTCTCGGGTTCAAGTGATTCTTCTACCTCAGCCTCCTGAGTAGCTGGGATTACAGGCACGCACCATCAAACCTGGCTAATTTTTGTACTTTTAGTAGAGACGGGGTTTCACCATGTTGGTTAGGCTGGTCTCCAGCCCTCAGGTGATCTGCCGGCCTCGGCCTCCCAAAGTGCTGGGATTACAGGTGTGAGCCACTGCACCCGGCCGAAAAGTAGTTTTTAATTCCAACAATGGATGAAGTTAGTGACACCAAGTCACTTCTCCAGCACTGTCCAGAGGTAGGAACCGGCTTTCCCCAAAGGCCACCACTGCCGGCAAGTCCTGCATCAGCTAGGTAGTGCTTGCTATAGCACAGTGAAAAAGGTAACATGGAGTTTTGAGGAAGCTGGGTGTAAATCATTATTTGATAAAGTAATCTTTCAATTGAATTGAAGATTTCCCTCCAAACAAAAGAATTTATTGCATAGCTCCTTTAGAATAGTTTTTCTTAGTTTGTAAAGTTCAGATTAAAAGCTTACCATTTCAGTTTCAACACTGTTATTACCCATCTGCTAATTTCCACAAATATACAAATACATGAAGGCAACAAGTGCAGAAAACAGTCCATAAATAGGGTGATCACTACTTTACAGATCTTTCTAAACGTAAGTTTCTCTAGGTAAGCACTGCATGTAGAGAGAGCTGCTTATAGAGAAACTTCCATCATTTATACCAAATTAAAACCAGTATGTTTAAAGTATAAAAACCACTCACTTCAGACATATCTTATTTCACAAAAACTGCAATATTTTTAATTTTTTTATCTAGACAAGTCCTCAATGTGTTTGCCAGGCTGGTTTTGAACTCCTGGCCTCAAGTAATCTTCCCACCTTGGCCTCTCAAAGTATTGGTATTCAGTATCATTTCCCATCCATTCTCTTTCTGGACACCATCTATTACCATCTGGGACCCATCTCCCTTAGGTTGTCTCTTGTCCTTCAGTTGACACTTCACAAACTTCAAACATCCTTCCACTTTTGAAATTCTAGGGACACACACTGCCTGCCTCCTGGAGAAAATAACCCGTTATTGGGTTAGAGGCAGTAGAGGCCATGCCCGGCCAAAAACGGAAACTTTTGAACTTTTTTCTTACAGAATCTTCAGTCCATCCACAATCATGAATACCATCATGGCTTCACACCAGAAAATCATTTCAAATAATTTTTTAAAAACAGTAAATACCACCCAATTTGTAAGAGTACCAATGCTATTTCAAGCATAATTTTCTCTAACTACACTGTACTTCTAAATCCAAGACACTGTGACCTACCACTGACTTAAGAAAGGATTTTGGAGATTGGAGAACAGCGAAAGAAAAACTAAATGCACACATCACTGCAAGAAGTATTTAGATCTCAGAAATAAAATGTGTGGGGCTGAGCATGGTGGCTCACATCTGTAATCCCAGCACTTTGGGAGGCTAAGGAGGGCAGATCACGAGGTCAGGAATTTGAGACCATCCTAGCCAATATAGTAAAACCCATCTCTACTAAAAAAATACAAAAATTATCCAGGTGTGGTGGCGGGTGCCTGTAATCCCAGCTACTCGGGAAGCTGAAGCAGGAAAATCACTTGAACCTGGGAGGCAGAGGTTGCAGCAGTGAGCCAAGATCACGCCATTGCACTGCAGCCTGGACGATAGAGTGAGACTCTGTCTCAAGAGAAAAAGAAATAAAATGTTTGAAGAAATACATTAGGAAAAAATACGATGATGAAATTACTAAAAGTAACCAGGAGGCACCAAGAACCAATTCTGATGTTTCAAAATTACATACACTTCTAGGTATATATCCAAAAGAATTGAAAGCAGAGTCTCATAGAGATATTTGGACACCCAAATTCAAAACAGAACTACAGGCTGGGCGCGGTGGCTCATGCCTATAATCCCAGCACTTTGGGAGGCAGAGGTGAGCGGATCACTTAAGATCAGGAGTTCGAGACTGGCCTGGCCAACACAGTGAAATCCCATCTCTACTAAAAATACAAAAAAATTAGGTGGCATGGTGGTACACACTTGTAATCCCAGCTACTGGGGGAGGCTGAGGCAGGAAAATCACTTGAACCCAGGAGACGGAGGTTGCAGTGAGCCGAGCTTACACCACTGAACTCCAGCCTGGGCGACAGAGCAAGACTGTCTCAAAACAAACAAACAAACCAAAAACAAAAACAACAGCACTATATACAATAGGCAAGAGATGGAAACAACCCAAGTGTCCATCAACAGAGGAGGATAAACAAAATGTGGTACATACAATAAAATATTAAGTGACCTTAAAAAGGAAGCCAATCCTGTTACATGCTATAGCATAGATGAACCTTGAGGACATTATGCTAGGTAAAATAAGCTGATTATGAAAAGATGTAACATGATTCCACTTCTGTAAGAAATCTAAACATAGTCAAATTCAGATTAACAGAATGTAAAATGGTTCCAAGGATGAGGAGGAGGGGGAAAGGAAAGTTGGTTAATGGCTACAGAGTTTCAGTTTTGGAAGATGAAAAAAAGTTTGAGATCTATTTCACAAAAACGTGAATGTACTTTACTGAACTATACACTTAAAAATGGTTAAGATGGTAAATTTTATATCTATCTTTTTATGATAAAAAAATTACAAAGAAAATAAACTAAGAATTAATAATGAACATAAATAAAAATGAAGAAAGCAGAAAGAATGAAAGCAGACATTAATGAAATTGAAAACTAACGAAATAGCAGATTTCATCAACAAAAAAGTTGATTCTTAGGAAAAAATTAATAACAACACTGACTAATCTCTAGCCTATCAATCAAGAAACACAAAAATAAAAATTTTACAAGAACAGAGAAGTAACTAGGATGTGGAATATCTATCTATCTATCTATCTTTTTTTTTTTTTGAGATGAGTCTAGCTCTGTCGCCCAGGCTGGAATGCAGTGGCCGGATCTAGGCTCACTGTAAGCTCTGCCTCCCGGGTTCATGCCATTCTCCTGCCTCAGCCTCCCAAGTAGCTGGGACTACAGGTGCCCGCCACCACGCCCGGCTAATTTTTTGTATTTTTAGTAGAGACGGGGTTTCACCGTGTTAGCCAGGATGGTCTTGATCTCCTGACCTCATGATCTGCCTGTCTTGGCCTCCCAAAGTGCTAGGATTACAGGCATGAGCCACCGTGCCCAGCCAGTGGAAAATATTTTTTAAAACTCTAGGCCAAGCATGGTGGCGGTAATCCCAGCACTTGGAAGACTGAGGGGTGAAGATCACTTCAGGCTAGGAGTTTGAGACCAGCTTAGACAGCACAGTGAAACCCTGTCTCTATTAAAAAAGAAAAAATATATAAACGAAATAGATTTCCTAGAAAAATTAAATTACCAAAACTGACTTAAGAGAGAGAAAATCTGAATATATCAATAGTTGTAGAAGAAACTGAAAAGACAGCCAAATGTTTTCCACTAACTCAACATCTCCCAGGTGATTTTTCTTTTCTTTCTTTGTGGAGGCATGGTCTTGCTATGTTGCCCAGGCTGGTTTCAAACTCCTGGGCTCAAGTGATCCTCCCGCCTCGGCTCCCAGAGTGCTGGGATTATAGACATGAGCTGCTGAGTCTGGCCTGCCCGAGAAGTTTTTATGAGTCAACTCTAAGGAGCCAACAATTCCCAAGTGATGAAAAGGGTTCCAGAGCATGGAAAAAAGAGACTTCACAACTCTATCTAACGAGCTAGGATAATTATGACATCAAATTTTGACAAAGCTGCTTGCATACAAAAGGTGACTATGGGCCAATCATACTTATAAGCACAGATTAAAAAATACAAATAAGATACTAGAAGCCAGGTGCAGTGGCTCATGCCTGTAACCCCAGCATTTTGGGAGGCTGAGATGGGAGGACCCTTGAGCTCTGGAGTGGGAGGTTGCAGTGAGCTGAGACTGCACTGCTGCACTCTAGCCTGGGTGTCAGAGTGAGACAATGTCTCCAAAAAAAAAAAAAAAGGCACTAGAATATCAAAACCAGTACGGTAGTGCACTAATCGTAATACAGTTCTGGAGATGAACAGTGATGTAGTGATGTCAGTTGCACACATTGTAAAAGTACTTAATACCACTGAAACATATACTTAGTAAAATCACAGTGGGGTGCAGTGGCTCACACCTGTAATCTCAGCACCCTGGGACGCCAAGGCAGGAGGACTGCTTGAGCCCCTTAGTTGAGACCTGCCTGGGCAATGTAGCAAGACCCTATCTCTATAAAATATTTAAAAATTAGTGCACTGGGCCTGTAGTCCCAGCTACTCAAGAGGTTGAGGCAGGAGGCTTGCTTGTGCCCCGCAGTCTGAGGCTGCAATGAACTATGATCGTGTTATCTCACTCCAGCCTGGGCAACAGAGCAAGACCCTGTCTCTAAAATAAATAAATAAATAAAACCGCAATTTAAAAAAAATTAGAAAGAAAACGGCAGAACTAGTTTTAACATTTTTATTTGCAATGAAAACTATTTTACTAAAAAGATTTCCCATATATAAATTCATATGGGCAAAACATAAATCCTAACAGTTAAAGCTGTACATCTGAAAGGTACAGCTGTGCAACAAAGACTACTTAATAAACAATTCTATACTTTACAGACAGGTGCCAGAAACATGTAGAAAAATTAAATCCACATGTTATGGATCTGTAGCTATATTTAAAACATACTGAATCCCTCATTTGGTAAAAATCAACCTGGAGGCTCAGCAGCCTGTACTTCGCTGGCCCAACTGAAGCACTCTAAGCCAGAACACTCTTTCAGACTTCCAGTGCTAGTAAATGATATTAGAACACTTCTAAAACAAAAAGCCGGTTTTCCAATTTTAAAAAATCTATTCTTATTGGAAATAGGTTTGACACATCTATTCTGTACAAGAAATAAAGATAGCACATACTCTTTTCTAACAAATATGAGGCAGAAAGTACAGAACCAGAATAAAAATCATCATAATTCCACCACCCAGTATACTTCCTTCTTGTTTTTTAAATTTATAATTATTTATTTTTCAAACTTGAAAATGACAATACTGTATTCTGCTTGGTCACTTAGGGTTAAAAGCTGTTTTCCCAAAGACACAGGTTTTTGTTTGTTTGTTTTTTTGTTTTTTTTTTTTTTGAGACGGAGTCTCGCTCTGTCGCCCAGGCTGGAGTGCAGTGGCCGGATCTCAGCTCACTACAAGCTCCGCCTCCCGGGTTTACGCCATTCTCCTGCCTCAGCCTCCCGAGTAGCTGGGACTACAGGCGCCTGCCACCTTGCCCGGCTAGTTTTTTGTATTTTTAGTAGAGACGGGGTTTCACCATGTTAGCCAGGATGGTCTCGATCTCCTGACCTTGTGATCCGCCCGTCTCGGCCTCCCAAAGTGCTGGGATTACAGGCTTGAGCCACCGCGCCCGGCCACTAAGACACAGGTTTTTAAAGTTTTTGAATTTCAACCAATGGATACCAACCTATAATTATCAGTATTTTTAATGTTCTCCAAGTTGGTAAGAGCCGATAATTTAACTCCCAGTCTTTGTATCCAGTTCCTTATACTTACCTTGTAAACTTCACTGAAACCTCCTCTACCCAAAAGATGTAACAACAAATATCTGTCATTTAGCGTTGGATGATCTTTAAATCTGTGGAAACAGGGAACATGGAACACCCTGAGATCATGGACTACAGTCTTCCACGCTTGCCAAATTCCCAGAATATCTAACACATTATACATACAATTATAGCTACTGTTGGTAGTTTGACAATCAACACCAACATGGCAAATACTGAGTATAAAGTTACACAGTTCAAAGAGGCAGTGTAATTACAATGAACAGCACTAGCTGCAGAGCCACAGGACTTGGGTGCTGGTCTCAGTGTAGCTACACTAGACCTTTCTTGCTCCTCCTGCTTTTTTCTGTCCTGCTATACAATGAGGGAGGGTAGATTAGAGTAGACCAGAGATTTTTAAATTGTGCTACTTGGCTCCTCCAAACTGTTCAAGGGCCACATGTTCTCACCATTTCAAAAATACATACAGTAAATCCAAGACACTTGCTATTTCCTTAAAAACAGATTTGATTATAAAGTGAGTCACATGTTCTATGTGCATTCATTATTCTCTCTTTAAGACAGATATAACTGTGTTCCCCATATTAGATTCTCTTGGGTAGTTTCTTAGTAATATGATAAAGAAATGACAAATTCTGGCAAAAACAAATTTAAAAATATTTGTACCTAGTTCCTGATCTTAAACAATCTCACTATTAATTCTGAAATTACTTTACATGGATTCTAAGAAAGTAGCATGCCTATTTGGAGAGACATTACTGCACGGTGGTTTGGATGAAAAAGATCCAAGTTTAACTCTTTGGTCACATTATTTATGAGTCCCTGGTCAAGTTAATTTACTTTCTCCAAGCTTGTTTTCTGATTGATGTATTAAAGATGACTGGGTTATCCTGCGGATTAAATGAGAGCACTAAGGGCACTTAGGACCAGGCCTGATACACAGAGAGTTCTCAGAAAGGGGTACCTGCTGTTGTCTGCCACTTTAACAGAAAGAAAGGTCCAAAGCTCATATAAGCCAAACAAAAATACACAAGCTGTGGCTTTATGAAAAAATGTTTCAGGGTCCAAAAAAAAAATGGGGAAAAACCAGATTACTTATAAAAGCCGCTTTCTACTTTCAACCTACTTTGCCCAGTTTCAATTCATCTACAATTAATGTACTGAACTTAAGAGTCTTACTTAAAATGTCAACACCTGAATGGTCCTTAAAGGTCATTCAGAAACTGAGTGTCATCTCAACCCAATACTCTTTCCACAACACCACACGGTGACCCATCTTCCCTTTCTTAAGGCTCTGTAGGGAAATCTGAATATGCCACATATCTCAACCATTTACAATTACGAAGCCATATTGTTTTAGTAACCTCTACTCATGTAAAAATGCTCTACGTATACCCATATGTACTTAATATATAAATTTAATACAATTGTATATTTAAACCAAGGCAAATCATAATTTTGTTTACAAAATTGTATTAGATGCTACAAAAGAGCTAAATACACTATGGAATCATTTATGTAACTTACATTAAGCAAACACATTATTCTAGACCATTCAATTCATAACATAAAATGCTTAGCAATCTCCAACCCAATGTACCCCCAAGTAGCTTACTGTGAATTATCTTCATTATGTATCCTTTTTAGTTCCCTGATATGTAGATTTCTAACCCTTTCTAGCCTCTCCAGCTCTGCCTGGATCTCTGCTTCCTCCTAAAGCGAAAAGGAAAGAAATAGCACAGGGATCTTATTTCAAAAACAATAGCAGACATTTATCTTATGAAAGGCTAGAGGAAGGTGCTTTGCATTGAAAGATTTCTTTTTAAGCGATAAGAATTTTAATCATAAAAATTAGCCCATAGAAAATAATAAAATTCAAACCATACAGAGGAGTTCAGTGAGAAAAGTAGAAGTTCTCTACCCTCTTCCTCCCTCCTCTCCATGCCCACTCCTGAGATGTAACCACTATTAAGTTTCTTACACAAGTTTCCAGGAATGTTTTGTGCATATATACACAGACATGGAAACATTTTTTACAAAAATCAGGTTATCTATCCAGTTCTCGTCTTTAAGCGTGGATTACACTTGGTGCCTTAAGTTCTACTTATTTTTATGTTTTATTTTTTGAGACGGAGTTTCACTGTTGTGGCCCAGGCTGGAGTGCAGTGGCGCGATCCCGGCTCACTGCAACCTCTGCCTCCCAGGTGCAAGCGATTCTCCCGCCTCAGCCTCCCGAGTAGTTGGGATTACAGGCACACGCCACCATACCCAGCTAATTTTTTGTATTTTTAGTAGAGATGGGGTTTCACTATGCTGGGCAGGCTGGTCTCGAACTCCTCACCTCAGGTGATCCACCCACCTCAGCCTCCCAAAGTGCTGGGATTACAGGTGTGAGCCACCATGCCCAGCAAGTTCTACTTATTTAATAAGCTCTGAGAACCCAGTGGGAAAACAGCATGAAAACTAATATGTGAAATAAAAAACAAAAGCACACATACCAAAAGCAGTTCAGTAAATCCTTACTGACCATTATCACCCATAAACAGCATTGACCAATGTATGGGCTTCTGAATTTTAAGAGCTGAGCAATCCACATCTAAGATGTCTCAGTGAATATCATCAATAACAAATTCTATATTATGTGCCTTTGTGTTTGAATAAGGTTTGGCGTAAGACTTTCTCTTTTGACTAGTTTAGGCAAGGAATAAGAGCTGCTATGTGATTTAAAATATGATTTAAAATCTTCACATCAATTTCAAAATCATCTGCTCTTATTATATATTAAAATTTTACTCCAAAGATAACCACTTGGGAAGCCTTATGATGTATACAGAATTATCTGCTCACAGATCACTGGGGAAAAAAAAAACACTCTTATTGGGTTGCTGGAATTCACTTGAAAATGGAAAGATAGGCCAGGCATGGTGGCTCACACCTGTAACCTGTAATCCCAGCACTTTGGAAGGCTGAGGCAGGCAGATTACTTGAGGTCAGGAGTTCGAGACCAGCCTAGCCAACATGGTGAGACCTCGTCTCTACTGAAAATACAAAAATGAGCTGAGTGTGGTGGCATATGCCTGTAATCCCAGCTACTTGGGAGGCTGAGGCATGAGAATCGCTTGAGCCCGGGAGTTGGAGGTTGCAGTGCGCCAGGATCGTGCCACTGCACTCCAGCCTGGGAGACAGAGTAAGACTCCATCGCAAAAAAAAAAAAAAAAGAAAAGAAAAGAAAAGAAAATGGAAAAATATGAGTTCTACCATTAGGCTACAAGACATGACATGAAAGCAGTCACTCAAGCTTTCTGCTGCTATGTGCAGCTACTATGACCAGAGAGCTTCAACCCCAAATGTAAACTAGGTATCACATTTCTCCAGGGAGATTTTCTCATTACACTTACCTTTTTAAGATGACCTAATCTGAGTTTGAAGATTTCTTCTTGTTCATGGTATTCTGCTAATGTTAACCTGAAAAACAGTGGTAAGTTTCAGTAAACTACTAGAAATCATAGTTTGCTTATTTAAAGAGAAATGCTCAAATATACTATAAGACATATGCAGTTTCAGTCTCAGTTAAAATGACTGAAAGACAGGTTATCTTGTAGTCCTCTGACAAGAGAAAACTTCTGTGATTTACCAGATATGATGTGAGGGAAGAACTTCAAAGCCAAAAGTCTAATTTGCAAAATATAAAAAAAAAATAAGTGAGCCATATTTTTATATTATTTTTGAAATGAGTTTTGTCCCATATATTACTCAGGTGAAAATTCATTCAGAGAGAGCCAAAAATTGTCTAAAAATCTTTTAGAGGGCATAACAATAAGCCAATGGATTTTATTATTCTTGTTAACACTTAAACCTTGATAGTGTAATAACAAAGAGAAAGATATAGCAGCAAATTAGAGTCTAGGATTTGGAGTCTGAGGACTAGGGTTTAAAGCACTACTAAGCCGCTGGCGATGTGACCTTGGGCAAGCAACTTTAACCTCTTAACTCAGTTTCCTGAAATGCAGCAAGTGATAATACCTATCTAAGAAAGCGCTGCGGCTTACATGACAATGTACACAGAATATTGAAAATGCTATTTAAGTCAACTCTCAAAGGGCTAACTTGATGGGTATTCATGTGTTTCATGTTCCACCTACTCCAACAGCATCCTTATATCTCAAGAATGAACAAGTGGCCAGGCTGGGTGGCTCACTGTAATCCCAGTACTCTGGGAGGCTGAGGGGGAAGGACTTGGAGCCAGGAGTTTGAGACCAGCCTGGGCAACAAAGCAACACTCCGTCTCTGTGAAAAAAACAAGAAAGAAGTTGGGCATGGTGACACATGCCTGTAGTCCCAGCTACTCAGGAGGCTGAGATGGAAGGATTGCTTGAGCCCAGGAGGTTGAGGCTATAGCGTGCTATAATCATGTCACTGCACTCCACCGCAAGAAACAGAGCAAGACTCTTGTCTCTTAAAAAAAGAAAAAAGAAAGAAAGAAAATAAAAAAAGATGAACAAGTGAGAATTATTTTTTTCTTCCATCTCTACCTTTTTCGCATTCTAGAAGCATATACAGATATTTAACATTTTTAGATACCACTGTTTAGATATATTCTAAATAGCAGAAGAAAGAGGAAATATCTATCCTATCAACCAGAACAGAGCCTTTGAGGTCTAACTCAAGAAAAAATAGAAAGAAGAAGAAACTCACCTACTAGGGCTATCTCTTTACAGATGTAGAAATACTTGTATCTATTACTCCATTCCACACCAGCAAAAAACAGATAAATAAAAAATGATGGCTAAGAATTCTCTGTCTGAAACAGGTTCAGGGCCAAGAAAGGATAATATGACTCATTCCAAGACTCCAGAGGCCTACTTCTGGCTTCTGGTCAAAGTAAGAGCCAATTCACAGATACTCTAATTAAAAACTGGACTGAAAGCCTTCTGGATTGGATTTTACACAGGACTCCAGATGGCAACTGCTTACACATTACTAGCCTAGATAGAATTCTAATTATTGTTCTGTGGCAAAGAAACAACCTATGCCTTCTTTAGCACTCCTAAGCGAATGGTTTTGTGCATTAGCATTAAATAATTTTCAAATAATACTAGAGGGAAAGTCCCTTCACAAAATAAACACAGGAATCATGAAAGAAAACCTTGGTCAGATTAATTAGCCTAGACAATCTTTCAAATCTGAGCCCCTACTTGGACTTGCTGAAAGGAAAATACTTTATATTTAAGACTCTATACTCTTCCCCTTTTCTCATTCTGATTATTGCACTTGACTAGTCTTTAAAATCAAGGGGAAAATGTTTTATAACATTTGGGCTGGGTTCAGTAGCTCGCGCTTGTAATCCCAGCACTTTGGGAGGCTGAGGTGGGTGGATCATTTGAGGTCAGGAGTTCGAGACCAGCCTGGCCAACATGGAGAAACTCCATCTCTACTAAAAATACAAAAACTAGCTGGGCGTGGTGACGCACGCCTGTAGTCCCAGCTACTCAGGAGGCTGAGGCAGGAGAATCATTTGAACCCGGAACACGGAGGTTGCAGTGAGCCGAGATAGCACCACTGCACTCTGGCCTGGGTGACAGAGTGAGACTTCGTCTAAAAAAAAAAAAAAAAACTATCTGGAGTTATACGAATGAAGAGGTTTTCCAAGTTCATTACGCACATTTTTTATCGCTATACTTAATGTAAGTATTAGTTTATTCGTCTGTTCATCTCACCTAAGTAAATTGTGGGCTCCTAAGGCTGGGGCTGTATCCTTTAGCTCTGTATTCCCAGAAGGGGCCTAGCATAAAATAAGTATTTAACACAGACTTACTAAACGAATATCAAGGACAAGACTTCCCAAAACATCAGATACGTATGGGGTGAGGATTGGTGTTAAGCCATGTTTCTCAGTAGAACGAAAGAAGATGCATTTCTAGGATGCCACAGACTTTTAACAATAATGTAATACAAGTATTATTATACCTGAAGTGGATTATGTGTTGTTTTTGTGAACTAATACGAAAACATAAAACAAATGACATATTAATTGATAAGTTATATGATATACATTTTCTTTGAAGCTATCTTTGGATATGAAACTTACTTTCAGTTAAAGAGAAAGGAAGAAACGAATGGAGAAGGCAGGCATTTGTGCTTAGAATTTTCTACTCCTATACATGGTAGCTATGTAAATATTGTTGAGTGACAAAGAAAAAGATGACTATACTGCAGTTTAAGATACTGGTGTTTTCCTTATATTCCCAGAACACGAAACAATTCTGATGAGATCAAGTTGTGGCTTATTGGGACAATATCCTTTTCTAACATAACAGGTTTTCGGGGCGCTTATCCTAAGTTTGCGACTATTAACGAAATGCTCTTTTGACCAGTAAAGAGCATTCTTCTGTTTGAAATAGCAGCCAGGTAACTCCCATAAGACGACTAGTATACCACAACCTGGAGCCACAGGTAAGCAATAATATCATTTCAGTACAATGATGTCTTATTTGTTAACCAGGAGTGGCCAAAAGACATGATGTCAAGTGACATTACTTTTCCCTCTCATTCAAAATGCCCTAAATAAAGAGCAGCTTTAAGAAAATCAATTAATTTTATATGGCATTTATATGAGTTGAGCAAATCCATTAATGTAACTGAAAAGAAGGTTTAAACCTGAGTGAACTCCAGAATTTACAACTATTGCCGGTGGCAATCAACAGGACATTTGTATTTGGGGGTGTGGTGTGGTGTCTCAGCGTTCACATCAATAAAGAACATACGTTTCATTTTCAGCTCCATTGGTCTTGCTTTTCCGCTGTTTTTGCTCATTGGTTGCAGGAGGGGCCTGACCCATGGCAGGAGGTTTCCGCTTTGCTAACATTTTCCGTTGTCTTTCTATCTCTTCCCTCTGTGAATTTATCCTTTCCTGTTGCCTAGAAATATAAAAGATGTTGCACAAAGAAAGTCAAAAGTTTTACCACAGCTATGGAACACACACAATTTGTCACTTGTGTATCCAATTTCAGAAAAAATAAGCCCCTTTAAGTCAAGAAGAGATCTGATTTTAACTTCAGATTGGAAGGGCCAAATAATCGGTGATAGATGTTTTCTGGGAATGAGTCTGTGCTTTAAGACACTAGTTATTACTATTTTCAGAGTGGGCAGGAAGGAACGTATCAAATTTCTATTGTGACCTTATTTTCTGACTCAAAAGGAACAATTTTCTGATTCCTTTTTAACAGCTAAGAAAACAATTCTCTGATCTGAACCCATTAAAAGTAAAAATTGTATTTTAAAAGTTGTAAAATGTTCCAAGTTCTTTTTTATTTTTCTTTGGATGAAAGCTTCTCAGTTTTGTGTAAAAAGATACCAAGTTTGTAGGATGCTAAAGAAAGTAAACAAGATTTTCTTTTAAGATCTATCCTTTATTCTAGTCTAAGGGAGCCATTACTACTCTACACATCAACCCCGCTCACTGATACAGTGACACCTAAATTAAGTTTTTAAAAGACAAATACATTCAGAGAAAGCACAATAAAGTCTTCAACTAGTAAGAACTCCTTAGGGAATAGGGAACAAAATGAATTAGCATAAAACATATTTTACAGCGGCAGTTAATCTAACACCATTACCATTAGAGTATTTCCTAAGAAGATGTCAAATTTTTCTGTGATTAACTAGTTTACAAATTAGAGACCAATAAAAACTCCATTAAAAAAAAAACAAAAAACACTTTCTCTCATGTATCCTACCACCTAACAGATATTAAGGTTTACAGACTTGGTATATAAAAATAAACAAAATTGGAGATTAACCATTTAACAGGCTAGTCTTTAAGTCACTCATCATAATTGACAGTCGAATGATAGCTCCCTTCTCCTTCTCCCTCTACTGTGCTTTTCCTCTCATTCTCTTTTGTGGAAGCAACCTTCATTTTTGTGGAATAATAAAACCTTTTTTTTGAGAGAGTCTCACTCTGTTGCCCAGGCTGGAGTGCAGTGGTATAATCTTGGCTCACTGCAAGCTCCATCTCCCAGGTTCAAGTGATTCTTGTGCCTCAGCCTCCCTAATAGCTGGGATTACAGGTGTGCACCACCATGCCCAGCTAATTTTTATATTGTTTTAGTAGAGATGGGGTTTCATCATGTTGACTAGGCTGGTCTCAAACTCCTGACTTCAAGTGATCCCACCTCGGCCTCCCAAAGTGCTGGGATTACAAGTGTGAGCCACCATGCCTAGCAGAATCTAATTTTTTAAAACCTACTCTCAAATGGAAGTTGCTCTACCCTCTTCCCTGAACACTGTTTCCAGATCTTTTCCAGATTTAGTACAGTGTCTTTCGTGGAAGAACGACAAGCAGAAAACCAAGATTACTCTAGGGTAGATACCAACAATACAGCTTATTTGCACATATCTAGAAGGGCAATGCTGTATGCAAGATTAACCTAATCAGAGTATTACAAAGCAACAACCAGTCACTTGATAATACTATGCCCTTGGCTTCAGGATGAGCCAGGTCACTGATTAGACATCAATTGAACAACAAAATGAAAATTATAATTCAATAATTTTCTGTTCGCCTGAAAATTCTTTTTGATTATCATTAGCTAGACCTCCTCATCTCTACTTGCAGAACATATATAAGGTTGGCTCTCCACATCTATGGATTCAACCAACTGCAGATTGAAAATACAGGGGAAAAAAAAAGGATGGCTGCACCTATACTGAATATGTACAAACTTTTTCCCTTGTTATTATTCCATAAACAATATGACAATTATTTACACAGCATTTACATTTATTAGGTATTATAGGTAATCCAGAGGTGATTTAAAGTATATGGGAGGATATGCATAGGTTATATGCAAATACTACACATTTTATATCAGGGACTTCAGCATTCATGGATTTCGGTATCTGAGGGAGGTCCTGTAACCAATTCCCCACAAGAGACAATTGTATATATCATTCATGGCTTGAAAGAAATCTGGGTTGAGACACAGAATCCTTAAGTAAAATCACAGTATTTCTTCTGGAGAAAACATTTACCTTAACTGAGCATGAATTTCCCAATTAAAAAACTGGTAAACATCTTTAGCTCATTTCTACCCCTTTCAGGGGCCATGAATGTAAGGCACTCTGAACTCCCTACAGATAAACATACAATATACAGTAGCTTAGTGGAGTGCCACAACATTTTGTCTTTTAAGATTAACAGTATTTTGCAAAATTGAGATTTTAGCAATCACCTTGATCAAACATAAAATAAAAACAATCTTCTATTATTTTCAAGGACAATTCATATGTTTAATCACTTCAGATTCACCAAGAAAGGATCCCCACAGCCATCATATATATAAACCATAACACAAGGGACACAGATTCCAAAACATCTTTAGGGAAATCCTAAACTGCACATTCTGAGAACAAGACTTTGAACATGAAAGTTGATGCACCAAAGATCAATGTTATGTATTTTAAGGATTCTCATATAAATTCTTGATGTTCTTGAAACTATTTATTTACATCGAAGAAGAAAAGAATAGAGACTATCAGTGGTACTTCATTTAGATTTATTTTGGGAGTACAAAGTCTGGATTATGTCAAACTATAACTTCTCATAGAACAGGAATAGTGTCTTAGCAATCCATATATCCCCCAGCATGTATAACAGTGCCTTTCACAGAGTTGATCTTTATTTCTTGTATAGCATCAATTTTAGAGATTGCTCGCCCTTCATCACCCATAGCAAGAGGCTATTTCTTCTATATTTTACAGAAGTATTGAGGACCCAATAAATCCATCTCACTCAAATCTAAATAACTCTATTTACAAAGCCATTGCCTGCAAAAGAAAAACAAGATAATCAATCTTCTGCACCATTATGGGTTGTGTCCCCCAAAAGATATATTAGTCATTAGTGCCTCAGGATATGACCTTATTTGGAAACAGGGCGAATAAAGATATTACTAGTGAAGATGAGGTCTACTGGACACGACAGGACCTTAATCCAATACGACTGGTGTCCTTATGAGAAAAGGAGACACAGAGACGCACAGGGAGAGCACCATGTGAAGAGGAGGCAGAGAATGGAGTTATGCCGCCGCAGGCCAAGGAACACCTGGGGCTGCCACACTGCTGAAGAGGCAAAGAAAGATGTTCCCTAGAGGCTTGAGGAAGTATGGTCCCGCCCCACCTTGATTTCAGATCTTTAGATTCCTGAGGTGTGAGAGAATACATTTCTGTTACTTTAAACCACCCAGTTTATGGTATTTGTTACAGCATCCCAGGAACGGAAGGCGGGCGCCTTCAGCAGCAACACTACCTTCTACACTTCAACTACACTAGAAGTAACGAGTAGTAAAGGTATTTTAAAAACTGTGGCCGGGGCCGGGCGCGGTGGCTCAAGCCTGTAGTCCCAGCACTTTGGGAGGCCGAGACGGGCGGATCACGAGGTCAGGAGATCGAGACCATCCTGGCTAACACGGTGAAATCCCGTCTCTACTAAAAAAAAAAAAAAAATACAAAAAACTAGCCGGGCGCGGTGGCAGGCGCCTGTAGTCCCAACTGCTCGGGAGGCTGAGGCAGGAGAATGGCGTAAACCCGGGAGGCGGAGCTTGCAGTGAGCTGAGATCCGGCCACTGCACTCCAGCCTGGGCGGTAGAGCGAGACTCCGTCTCAAAAAAAAAAAAAAAAAAAAAAAAAACTGTGGCCGGGTGTGGTGGCTCACACCTGTAATCCTGAAACTTTGGGAGGCCGAGGTGGGCTGATCACTTGAAGTCAGGAGTTTGAGACCAGCCTGGCCAATATGGTGAAACCTCGTCTCTACTAAAAATACAAAAATTAGCCAGGAGTGGTGGCGTGCACCTGTATTCCCAGCTACTTGGGAGGTTGAGGCAGGAGAATTGCTCGAACCCGGGAGGCAGAGGTTGCAGTGAGCCAAGATTGCGCCACTGCACTCCAGCCTGGGCAACAGAGTGAGACTCCATCTCAAAAAACAAAAAAAAGCACGTATTTCCAGTCATTATTTTAACAAAATTATTTAAAGTAATCTGTTATCTATTTCATCTCTGAGACATCTGAAACCTCAAAACTTCAAACAACATGTCAATACCCCAGATGGCTTTGTTGTTGTTGTTTTTTTTTTTTTTTTGAGATGAAGTCTCGCTCTGTCACCCAGGCTGGAGTGCAGTGGCGTGATCTCAGCTCACTGCAACTTCCACCTCCCAGGTTCAAGCAATTCTCCTGTCTCAGCCTCCCGGGTAGCTGGGACTACAAGCGCATGCCACCATGCCCGGCTAATTTTTGTATTTTTAGTAGAGATGGGGTTTCCCCATGTTGGCCAGGCTGGTCTCGAACTGCTGACCTTAGGATATCCACCCACCTCGGCCTCCCACACTGCTGGGATTACAGGCATGAGCCACCATGACCAGCCAGATGAGATTTTTAAAGATTCCCAGCATTTCATATATTCTGTACAAACTAGGAGCTGTGAAATGGTATACAATACCTAAAGATCTAATGTTTATAAAATCAACAAAATGAATGACTTTGTTATGGATCATATGACTGAGAATCAGATGGTTTGACATAAATTGCTTTAAAACGGATACTGGTTGGGAGGACAAGGTGGGTGAATCACTTGAGGTCAGGAGTTCAAGACCAGCCTGGCCAACATGGCAAAACCCTGTCTCTACTAAAAATACAAAAATTCACCGGGCATAGTGGTGGGCGCCTGTAATCCCAACTACTGAGGAGGCTGAGGCAGGAGAATCACTTGAACTCGGGAGGCGGAGGTTGCAGTGAGCCGAGATCGTGCCATTGCACTGCAGCCTGGGTAACAGAGTAAGGCTCTGTCTCAAAATAAAATAAATAAAATGGATACTGGAACTTGTCACACTTCAGAAATACCTGAACTGGCATTACAATGCTGTAAGCTTTAATTTCTTCCTCTAATTACATGCATCTTAAATGATCACAATTTTGTACATAGGTCAAATCTCCCCCCCGCCCCCGCTTTTTTTTTTTTGAGACAGGGTCTCGCTCTGTCACCCAGCCTGGAGTGCAGTGGCACAATCTTGGCCTCACTGCAACCTCTGCCTCCCATGTTCAAGCAATTCTCCTGCCTCAGCCTCCCAAGTAGCTGGGATTACAGGCGTGTGTCACCATGCCCAGCTAATTTTTGTATTTTTAGTAGAGACAAGGTTTCATCATGTTGGCCAGGCTGGTCTCAAACTCCTGGCCTCAAATGGTCCGCCCATCTCAGTCTCTCAAAGTGCTGGGATTACAGGTGTGAGCCACCACGTCCGGCCAAATCCCATTACTTTAATTTTGTTTATTTCAACATAAAGTCTTAGTGAATAATTTTTATTGCCTTGCCATGGACTGTTTGAGACTTCTTTAAACAAAAAGTGGTGCACTGAATAACATTAACATTTAGTATTTAACATTACTTTCTCAGAAGTATAAAATAAGTTATTTTTTCAACAGATTCAAACATACTGTGGAAAGCAAAAATTACTAAACTGGCCAAAAAATATTACAAATCTGATATAAATTTCCTATTAGACAACGAATCTTCTGTTTTAGGAAATTAAAGATCACTCAAAAAAAGAACCAGGGAACAAAAAGAACAACAACAACAACAACAAAACGGTGTTAAGGGTCCTATTGAGGTTATATATCATTATCTGATTCATTTTTTAAATGCCTTTAGGTTTGTCTCTTCCCATAAAACCTAGTATTGCTGCTAGTGTACAGCTACTTCACCCACCAAATTACTTCACACGTCTTGGAGTTTCTCATGTGCAGAACTGTCATCTCTGAGGTTATTAGATATAGCCTTTTACAACTGGAGAATTTCAATTTCTATACTGAAGGAAATTAATTTATTAAAGCAAAATTTCAGGAACTAAAACACCTATAATTAATAGACATCAGCCAGAAACAGCTTTCCAAGAGAAGACATAGATTTCTTGCCATTTATATGGCTTAAAACAGTAAAACAGTGCTATCCACCTACAGTGAACAGTCCTACTTAGGGATTTCATTTACATAGTCTCACTTCCTCTGATTTGATGGCTCTACAGCAAAGTCATCATTTTGTACTCTACCATACAGATTTCCAGACCCTCATGGGCATCAAGTTGCTTTTAGAATATGAGATAAAATATTGCTACTATCAGCAGTAAGTTCAATCACTTCTTTTTGTTTTGTTTTGTTTTGAGACAGGGTCTGGCTCTGTCGTCCAGGCTAAAGGACAGTGGTGCAATTCTCGGCTCACTGCACCACTCACTGCATCACTCACCTCTCCTCCTGGGCTCAAGTCATCCTCCCACCTCAGCCTCCCAAGTAGCTGGGACCACTGGTGAGGGCCACCACACCCAGCTAATTTTTGTATATTTTTAGAGACAGGGTTTCATAACGTTGCCCAGGCTGGTCTTGAACTCCTGGGCTCAATTGATCCACCCACTTCAGCCTCCCAAAGTGCTGGGATTACAGGCATGAGCCACAGCGCCCAGCCATAAGCACTTCTTAAAACTAATTACATCTCTATACAAACTCACCATCTTTCCTGAATCAAAATCTAAAAAGACTGCCATCTAAATAGTAGCCACTGACAGGGCTGCTCAGAGCCACTACCACTACTAGAAGTCAGTGTAAGCATTAGGTGGCTTTGGCCACTATGTGGATCTTAAGTTTTATCTTCTTCTGATTCCATTTTAACAAATTTGGAAACTGGATGGTATGTCACTTCCAGGGCAACTTGCATTTCTTACCCAGGATGTTATAAACAGGTATCATACCTCCATGTAACCGCTGTTTATATTGCCCTGATACCTCTGCTATCACCAGCCACCTATGCTTAAGAATGCAGAGTGAATGCTGCTCTAAATGTCTGGTGCTGGCCTAAGAAAAGTCTGTGCTTTCCTTTCAAGGTATTCTTTGACTTGAAAGCCTCTTCACACACCAAAATATACATACATGAGGAACAATCATGAAGCAAAAACATGCTTAATCTAAGTTGGAGGTTAATGTTTCACACATAAAACAAGGACTACTAACATGTAATTCAGAGGTGAGTTTTAACAATTATTATAAATAGCATCAATATTTGTATTTTCTTTCACGCATAAGTTTCTTATTTGTCTCATTATTACTCAAAAGTAGTCATATGATTTCCAATTCATACTCAACAAGCTATTTCAGCAAAAAAACACAGGAAGGAAGGAAAGGCAGTCTATAGAACCTTCCGATTCATCATGACCTGGAGATTAAAAAAAAAAAGATACACCAAAAGGTACTGCAATCTGAAGATATCTATATACATTTAAAGATCTAAGCTAATGGTAGCTAGTCACACAGTTGGAATTTGAGGATTTTAAATGTTAATTCCCTCCTTGGAATAAATACCTAAATGCTTCAAATCAAAAGTTATGACAAAGACACTGAATGTTCAAGATTCCAAGCTGCAGACAGGCACACGCAATGGGGTTGGTCACCACTGCCTTCCAGGAAGTGCCTCTCTGATGACTGGACACTGTCTCCTTAAATAATCCCAGGAACATGTCCTATAAAGTTCTTCAATGGTTTTATTCTGCTTTATACCTAAACTTAACTCAGGAAATTCTTTCTCAGGTCCTTTCACATTTCATTTTTCTATGGATCCACAATAAATGCTCAACAGACTCTTAATGAAAATTCATTATATAATTAGAAAGATAGAAAGTCAGACCCTAGGTTTTTCTTCCTTAGCTTCAGCAATTCTGATTCTTTTAAGTTTTAATGCAGAACTCATTCTTTATTTTCTGGAACTTTTTGTATTCCTGATTTTACTTGTGTCATTTTTTTTCAGGACTTCACTTCATTCGATACATTTCTTTACACATGTGGTGACTAAAAAACTAACTGAAAAGATGACTACCAATACTAGGATTATTAATGACTACAATTACAGAAAACCAAAAAAATCCAAACGAACTTTTCAATTCTCCATTTAATCATAACAATTCACTTACTTGATAAGATTCTGAAAAGCATAACCATCTGTCCACTGTTCAGTAAATGAGGCCCCATGTCGGACAGTAGTAAAGTGGCCCAATCTCAAGCGGTCTTGCATGCTCTTATCTCTACATGCCATCTTCTCTTGTTTTGACTTAGGGGAAACAGACAAAAAAAGGAATTCAATACCAATTAGCATGGATAAAGATACTTCTTAGAAACTAAAACTAAAACATTTAACATTATCAGGAAACATACTGTTGAAAACCGTATGCTTTCTCACAACAGTCAATAATGACTCCTTGGATGACTTACTATTCCTATTCAAACAAAGTAAACAAGAGAGAACAATGAAACAACTGCAGGTTCTTCCTTGGTAAAGCTTTCCCAATCTGTCTATGTGTGTGCGTGTGTGTTTTTTTTTTAAAAGACAGAGTCTTGCTCTATCACCCAGATTGGAGGGCAGAGCCATGATCTCGGCTCACTGCAACCTCTGCTTCCCAGGTTTAAGCGGTTCTCCTGCCTCAGACTCCTGAGTAGCTGGGACTACAGGTGCACGCCACCACACCCGGATAATTTTTATTTTTTTTTTTTTGAGACGAGGTCTCACTCTGTTGCCCAAGCTGGAGTGCAGTGGTGCGATCTCAGCTCACTGCAACCTCCACCTCCTGGGTTCAAGTGATTCTTCTGCCTCAGTCTTCCAAGTAGCTGGGACTACAGGCACATGCCACCATGCCCAGCTAATTTTTGTATTTTTAGCAGAGATGGGGATTCACTATGTTGACCAGGCTGGTCTCCAACTCCTGACCTCGTGAGTCGCCTGCCTCAGCCTCCCAAAGTGCTGAGATTACAGGCATGAGCCACCATGCTTGGCCAATTTTTCTATTTTTTAGTAGAGACTGGGTTTTGCCACGTTGGCCACACTGGTCTTGAACTCCTGGCCTCAAGTGATCAGCCCACCTCCATCTCCCAAAGTGCAGAGATTACAGGCCTGAGCCACCATGTCCAGCCTGCCTAGGTGTTTTTAATCTTAAGAGTTCAGCATCTCACATTTGGGCCACATCAATGCCTAGCTCTTAAGCTGTTTCCCTATTTTCTGTTTCTTCTCTCATCTTTTCCAGAGAACTGCTGACAATTCATCTTCTCAGAACACCACTTTGCACACTTCCAGTTTGATGTTCCAAATCTTCCATGGGTCTTTGCTACCAAACTTTGGATCCAAACAAGAAAAGCTCCTCCATGCGCTAGAAGATTATATCTGCCTCCCTGCAGAATTCTTACTCCAGAACACCTTATATACTCCTGATTCCTGAGAACATCATTTATTGAACATAGGTTTATTTAAAAACAATTATACGTCATGAACTGTAAGAATGTTAAGTACAGAACATAGAAAAAAACTGGTGTTCACAGCCTAGAGAGGCGGGGGGTTATAACCACTAAATATATTAATTGGTAATTCTAAGTACAAACTGTGGTAAAGAATTCAAAGGAAAAGAATAAAGTACTGTGAGAGATGATACCATGGGATAAACGTCCTTGAGATGCCCTATTTTCAACTGACAGGCAATTTATAGCTGCAGTTTTCCATGCCCAGAACACATTCTTCCTCTTCTTTATAGCTTTCTCCAATTAGTCTCCTGCCCTTGATTTATTTTAGTGAATTTCTTTTCTTTCTTTCTTCTTCTTTTTTTTTTTTTTAAGAGACAGGGTCTCACTCTGTTGCCCAGGCTGGAGTGCAGCAGTGCAATCACAGCTTACTACAGCCTCCAACTCCTGGCTCCAGTGATCCTCCCACCTCAGCCTCCTGAGTAGCTAGGACTACAGGTGTGTGCCACCACACCCAACCAATTTTAGTGAATTCTTAGTAAGTGCACTGCTCACCTGAATAGGTTTCCTTATATATGTGAATGTATCTCATTCTCCCACCCTCATGTAGACTGTTACCCTCTGATGGCAGAACTGTGTCTTTTGTTTCTTAGATTCATGCAAACTGTTCTATTATGAGAAATTCATTCTCTTTTTTATTACTAAGTAGTATTCCACTGTATGACCATATCATAATTCGTATATACAGTCACTTGTTAAGAGACACCTAGGATGTTTCCGCTTTTTGGCTATGAATAAAATTGCCATGAATATTCTCATACAAGTACTTTTATGGACATTTGCTTTCTTCTGTTTTTAAAAATAAAGATGGTCTCATTGTGCTGCCCAGGCTAGTCTCAAACTCCTGGGTTCAAGTGAACCTCGTGCCTGAGCCTCCCAAAGTGCTGGGATTACAGGTGTAAGTCACCATGCCCGGCCAACATTTACTTTCATTTGTCTTGGGTAAATGCCAGGAGAGGAACTGCTGGATCACAGGATTTAGTGCATATTTATCTCAAATAGACAAATTGTCCAAAAACCTTCTGAAGTGGCTGTAATATTTTACATTTCTACTGGTGTAAGAAATCAGGCTGTCCCCTATCTTCACCAACCCTTGGATCTGTCAGGTTTTTTTAACTTCTAGTCATTCTACTGAGTATGTAGTACTATCTCACACTAGTTTTACGTTGAATTTTCCTGATGGATAAAGCCATTGAGCATGTTTTCATGCTTGCCATTTGCATATTTTTATATACTCTTTTTTTTGTAAACTATCTGCTCAAGTCTCCTGCTCATGTTTAATGAGTTGCCTTTTTATGATTAAGTTATTACGAAAGATAATATTGCACTCTATGATTGCATTTTCATTTGTGTGGTTTTTTTTGGCTTGTTTTTGTTTTGAGATGGTCTCAGTCTACCACCTAGGCTGGAGTGAAATGGCATGATCTCAGGCTCACTGCAATCTCTGATTTCAAGTTCAAGTGATTCTCGTGTCTCAGCCTCCAGAGTAGCTAAGATTACAGGCGCATGCCACCACACCTGCCCACTTTTTGTATTTTTAGTAGAGACGGGGTTTCATTCACCATGTTGGTCAGGCTGGTCTCAAACTCTTGACCTCAAGTGATCCGCCCTCATTGGCCTCCCAAAGTGCTGGGATTACAGGCATGAGCCACCACACCCTGCCCATTTATGCTTCTTTATATTGCATCACGGTGTAGCAGATACTCAATAAACATTCCCTACTTAGAAAGTCAGTAAGTAGGTACTACAATTTCAGCTCTTTTGGAAACAAATTTAAATTTTGTTATGTACTACTCCTAGCAAATAGAAAGTTCTGTTTTCCTGTGAGAACTCAGAGACAGCGTTATGTTTACTTTTTGTAGTATGCTATTTAGAGTTTAGTACAACTGGCTGAATCTATGCTGATTTCCAGAAGTATTCTAAAACTTCAAAGAAATTATCTGGATTAGCATATATTTTATTTTTTCTCACTCTCAGAAAAAATTTTAAAAAGTGATTTCTCTTCTATAAAGTTGATTAATGAGTCAAAGAATGAAACAAAATTTTCCCCAGTATCTTCGGCCTCAATAAAATAATCCATTCACTTTTACTGAGACAGTGTTTACTGTCTTTTTAACAACATTCCAAAGATTTCAAGAAAATAAATCCCCAGTATATCTCAAACCTCTAGTTTGTTCTTGTAATATTGTCATTAGGAAGTATAGCCTTCTTAAAACTTCTAAGAAATAGGCCGGGCACAGAGATGAGCGCCTGTAAACAGAGCAGTTTGGGAGGCCGAGACAGGCGGATCACTTGAGGTGAGGAATTCAAAACCAGCCTGGCCAACATGGCGAAACCCTATATAAAAATACAAAAATTGGCCAGGCATGGTGGCGCATGCCTGTAAACCCAGCTACTCAGGAGGCTGAGGCAGGAGAATCGCTTGAACCCAGGAGGCAACGGCTACAGTGGGCTGAGATCATGCTACTCTACTCCAGCCTGGATGAGACTCAATCTCAAAAAAAAAAAACAAAAAACAAAAAAAACTTCTAATAGTTACTAATAACTACTAACAGAGATAAGTGACAACTAACCAATGAATATAATAAAGGGGACATCAGCCAATTAAGTAATCATATACAAGTATATGACAACTTTAATTTTTTAATGCACAAAGCATTTAATTATCACATTATTATATACATAAGTTACTCTAAATGCCATCTCTGAAACAAAAATGCAACTATTGTTAATGATTCTAATAGTAATAGGATACTCACATCAATTGATAGAATGAATATAAGAATTTAGGAGAGCAATACCCCAAATAAACTCAACTAGGACAAGCTGTCCCTGTTCAATATCACACTCAAAGCAATGCACAGCAACAAAGCATATCCCAAATTAACACTCTGGATGCTTGGTCTGGTGTCCATGCAAGGAAAAAATTCTAATTGTCAAATCATGTTCCTAAAAAGCTCTACTTTTAAATATTTTCATCTCAAGAATAAAAAGACACACAATGACACACATTGAGTATCTTAGGACACAGAGTTTAGGCCAACATTATTCACTGACCTTTTCTATAAGGAGTTTCTTGCTCATTGTCACACATCTATTTAATCGTTCCTTGTATTTCTCTAGCATCTTTTGCTGTTCATCAATCTGCCGTCTCAAATCACAGTTGGCCTTCAATGAGAAAAAAATTTTTAATTAGCTCCAAGGAAGAAGATTAACAGAAAAGCAGTTTCTAGGGAGAGAAAAAAAAATCATTTCTATACGTTGTTCTATCAAAAGCAAAATTAAAGTTCAAACAGGTAAGAAGTAACTATGTCTTAGAAAAAGTAAATAATTCATTCCTTTATTCTCTCATAATATATCATCTATTTGTAAATGATAAATTGAATAACTAAGTTCAGCATGTTTTTCTACCGATCATATTTTGCTCCTGCCAATAACCAGTTACAGCTAATCTTGTAATCACAAACACCTAAGCGATCGCAAAATAATAATTTAAAAAATGTTAAGGCTGGGAATAATGGCTCACGCGTGCAATCCTAGCACTTTGGGAGGCCGAGGCGGGCAGATGACTCGAGGTCAGGAGTTCAAGATGAGCCTGGCCTACATGGTCAAACCCCATCTCTAATAAAAATTTAAAAATCAGCCAGGCATGGTGGCAGGAGCCTGTAATTCCAGCTACTTGGGAGGCTGAGGCGGGAGAATCACTTGAACCCAAAGGCGACGGTTGCAGTGAGCCGAGATTGCGCCACTGCACTCCAGCCTAGGTGACAGAATAAGACTCTTATCTCAAAAAAAAAAAAAAAAAAACTAAACTACAATGAATGTTTAAAATACAAAGAGTGATTAAGCACGTACAAAAAAATTACTGAATTTTATGTTTGCTTTGTTCTTTTTCTAGTCTTATTTAAGAAATATAAATTTGCATAAATGTTCCTCACCAGAGAAGCTAGGCACGCCCATGCCCACAAAAGACAGAACAAACAAACAAGGTCCTGATTCAAGAATGCCAGAATGTAAATATACAGCTAATTTAGCTGTGGTCAGAAGCCTACAGTGTGGACTAAAAACTTAAAGTCTCCTGCAATAACAGAGAAGGAAAGAACCACTAACCCAAGGACGAATTTGACTTGTAAGTCCTGAATTTATTCCTTTTGTGTTTAAAAAAAAAAAAAAAAAAAAAAAGATCTCAGCTCTTCTAGCAAATAATATTACCTCATAAAAACTCACTTAAATTATGAAAAAGAAAACCCTGTTATGTGTTTCTAAAATAAAAGCACAAACAGAAGATATTACACGATACTCAATTTTTGAGACTTTGTAGCTTCATTAAAATGTTTTATCATTTTTTCTTTTGTATAATATAGCTTCATTTTAAAAGTAACCCATGGGAAACAGCTTCTGTCGCCAAATGTTTCTCCTCTCCTTATCAGCATAATTTCTTCCTGTTAGTTTTTGTACAGAACCATATTATCAAAGGCAGAGTGTAACTACATTTGGGTAAGTGTGATTACCAAATTCATACTAAGAAATCTACAAAGCAAAGATCATTTAATGTTTATGGAAAACCCAGTCTATTAATAAGGTGAGTGTTCCCTTGAAATCTATAATCAAATGTATGAAATCAGTCAACCTCTTGGCAGTTATTTAAAATGTTAAGAATTTTAAGTTTTTGTGGCTTCTGACACTAATGTCTTCAAGGAGTTCATGTTTAAAGTAACAGCTGGCCGGGCGCGGTGGCTCAAGCCTGTAATCCCAGCACTTTGGGAGACGGAGACGGGTGGATCACGAGGTCAAGAGATCGAGACCATCCTGGCTAACACGGTGAAACCCCGTCTCTACTAAAAAACACAAAAAAACTAGACGGGCGAGGTGGCGGGCGCCTGTAGTCCCAGCTACTCGGGAGGCTGAGGCAGGAGAATGGCGTAAACCCGGGAGGCGGAGCTTGCAGTGAGCTGAGATCCGGCCACTGCACTCCAGCCTGGGCGACAGAGTGAGACTCCGTCTCAACAAAAGAAAAAAAAAAAAAAGTAACAGCTGGTGGCTGGCACGCGTGGCTCATGCCTATAATCCCAGCACTCTGGGAGGCCAAGGCAGGAGCATTGCTTGAGCCCAGGAGTTCAGCCTTGGCAACATGGCAAAACGCTATCTCTATAAAATTTTGAAAATTAGCCATGTGTGGTGGCACATGCCTCTGATGCCAGCTATTCGGGAGGCCGAGGATTGCTTGAGCCTGGGAGGTCGAGGCTGCAGTAAGCTGTGATTGCACCACAGCACTCCAGCTTGGGAGACAGAGCAAGACAGTTTCCTCTTTTTTTAAATTAAAAAAAAAAAAAAAAAAAAAAAAAAGCAGCTGGCTAGTAGCCCCCAATGCAGCCATACCCAACATCTTACTAAAATGGCAAAATTCAGTGACTGACACCTGAAAGAATATACAAGACATGTAGTCTTTCCTCCACTGTCGATTCTCTAGATCTTCTAGAAGCACAAGTTCTAATCAACCTAAAAACAACGCAGCTGCCCTCTGTGTCTTCCTTTTTTATTTACCTACTCCTTTAATACTGCTCTACATACAAATAAAGACTGCAACTGTCTGAAGACGATGGAGTAGAAGGGGCAGTGGTGAGTGAAGGAAACATATTGCTTCTTAGAAAACATAAGCAAATGTTTTTTTAAAACTCCTAAAGCAGTACCCACGTTAGGATTCAAGTTTTTCTCATACTCTGTCATCTCAATCTTAAAGAGTTAGATGATGGAGAAAGGCACACCCACAATTCTTTCTCAGTCCGGCAGAGCTTCTCTGTACAAAACCCTGACAGATACTGGAATTTGGCAAAGAGCTTTTTACACCCACAAACCATTTCATTATAAATCTTCGATGGCAATTCAACCAGCACCCAAATGAATAAAAACAGGAATAAGAGCAACTCCACGCAAGTATACATATCTGAACAATGAAAAACAGAACACAGTGCTGAGACTACGTGTGGGTCTTCTCATTCAAAGATGGAGAAAAGGAAATAAAAATAACAATAGTAAATAAAAACAACAAAAAAATTAGGTCCAAGGAATACAGAAAATCAGCTTGAAAACACCCATAGAAATCAAAAGAACATTTTAGAATTCTTGTCATATTTCATAAAATGCAAAAAGACATGATATCTAGGAAATAAGAACCAAAAACCCTAGAGAATATACAGGATGGGATAAGAAAGTATATTACATGAGGGGAAAAAAGCAGGGAAATTTAAAATGTAAATAATAGGCCTGGCACAGTGGTTCGCGTCTGTTATCCCAGCACTTTGGGAGGCCAAGGCAGGAGGACTGCTTGAGCCCAAGAGTTCAAGACCAGCCTGGGCAACATAGTGAGACCCTGTTCCTACAAAAAATAAAAAAATTAGCCAAGCACAGTGGCACGTGCCGGTAGTCCCAGCTATTCAGGAGGCTGAAGTGAGAGGACTGGTTGAGCCTGGGAGATGAAGGCTGCAGTGAGCCGTGACAGTGCCACTGCACTCCAGCCTGGGCGACAGCAAGATACTGTCTCAAAAAATAAAAATATAAACAATAAAATCAAAATTCACATGAGCTGCAGTAAATGCCAGAAATACTGCACTCCAGCCTGGGCGACAGCAAGATACTGTCTCAAAAAATAAAAATATAAACAATAAAATCAAAATTCACATGAGCTGCAGTAAATGCCAGAAATATACAGAAGACAGTGTTTAATGAGATTCAGAAGTAAGAGGCAATCACATTAAAATGAGACATAACATGTTAGAAATAAAGGAGAGAAATCAGAGATTCAAGCTAAGAGCCAAGAAGAAACCAATATGAAGAGGGATAAAAGCATAGTTAGACATAATCACGCATTTTCTAAATAAAAATATATAAACCCACATATAGATACACCCTGGGGTAATATTTAACAAATTATGGTGTTTCCTGCTTTGGTCATGAACTTCTCTGAAATACTAAATGCTTGAAAAACTGAAGGAGAGACAGAGAGAGAGAATGTGTGTGTTATATTTGAGAGGCAGAATGAACAAAACAAAGGGTTATGATACAAAAATCCTGCACACAGTGTTGTCTTTTCATGGGAGGGCAAAAGAGAGAATTCTCAGGTCTGCAAGGCACAGAAAATTTAATACTGACAAATCCTTGCTGAAAAATAATCACTTAAAAATGTATCACCATCAACAGATAAAACAAAAACTATAAATAAAAAAAAACTGTTGATAAGCTTTGAAATCAGTTGAAGAAACAAGTCTAACAATGACTACAAATTTGGTAATAAAGCTGTCTCTGCCTACACTCTAGACATAAGAACTTAGTATCATATAAAGTAGCAAAAATGATAATTTAATAATAATAATATAAGCCGAGCGCAGTGACTCACACCTGTAATCCCAGCACTTTGGCAGGACAAGGCGGGCCGATCACTGCAGGTCAGGAGTTTGAGACCAGCATGGCCAACATGGCAAAAACCCATCTCTATTAAAAATACAAAAACAGGCCAGGCATTGTGGTGCATGCCTGTAATCCCAGCTACTTGGGAGGCTGAGGTAGGAGAATCACTTGAACCTACAGAGGCAGAGGTTGCAGTGAGCCAAGATCACGCCACTACACTCTAGCATGGGTTAAAAAGTGAGACTCTGTCTCAAAAAATAAATTAACTAACAATAATATAAACAGCCAAATGCAGTGGCACATGCCTATAGTCCCAGCTACCTGGGAGGCTGAGGTGGGAGGATCACTTCAGGTGGGGATTGGGGAGGGCACAGCTTGCAAGACTGTGCCACTGCACTCCGGCCTGGGTGACAGAGTGAGACCCTGTCTCAAAATAAATATATAAAATTAATAATAATATAAACACACTAGACTTTACTAATAAAGGCCAGACTTAGTTTAGTTATGTGCTGAATTCCAGGTTTTATATAAAAAGGAGTCAAACTACACTATTTTACCCTACGTTTTTATTAATTACAGAAATATAATACAAGTAAAAAAATTTTGGAGGTCAGATCATCATGAGTACAATGACTTTTATTATCTTTATTATTAAACATATACCTTTATTCAAACAAAATTGTACCCGAAGCCTAATAAGAAAGACTGACAAAGGCAAGGCCGCGGATCCCCACCTCGCTGTGTCACGGTAGCCCTGGAGGTTTCAGGACCCTAAAGAGGCAGATTAACTACCACATTAGCACAAATATGTTTAATAATAAAGATTATTTATGTAATGTATATATTACATATGTATATGTATACATATACATATTATTTATGTAATACATTATGTAATGTATTACAAAAAAGATTATGTAATGTATACATTACATATGTATATATGTATGTATACATATATACATATGTATACATACACACACACATATACGTATCTCTCTCTCTCTCTCTCTCTCTCTACTTCAAACAGCTCAAAAAAATTACTGAAAAAAAAAAAATGTACCAAATGTTTAATCCCAATTAATGGAATTATGAGTGACATATTTTTCTGTATTTGGTAAAGAGCATGTATAATCTTTTTTTTTTTTTTTTTTTTTTTTTTTTTGAGGCAGGGTGTTGCTCTGTTGTCCAGGCTAGAGTGCAGCGGCACGATCTTGGCTCACTGCAGCCTAGAGTTCCTGGGCTCAAGCATCTTCCCACCTCAGGCTCCCAGTAGCTGGGACCACAGGCACACCACCATGCCTGGCAAATTTTATATTCTTTTGTAGAAATGGGGTCTTGCTGTGTCGTGCAGGCTGGTCTCAAACCCCTGGTGGCAAGCAATCCTACTGCCTCAGCCTCCCAAACTGGCAGGTATGAGCCACCATGCCCGGTCCTTTTTCTTATTTTTTTCTTGAGACAAAGTATCACTCTGTCGCCCAGGCTGGAATGCAGTGGCGCGATCTTGGATCACTGCAACCTCCACCTCCCAGGCTCAAGTGATTCTCCTGCCTCGGCCTCCCAAGTAGCCGGGACTACAGCCGCTTGCCACCATACCAGGATAATGTTTTATATTTTTTAGCAGAGACAGGGTTTCTTTCCACCACGTTGGCCAGGCTGATCTCAAACTCTTGACCTCAAGTGATCCACCTGCCTCGGCCTCCCAAAGTGCTGGGATTACAGGTGTGAATCACCATGTCCAGCCCTTTTTACTTTTTTAAAAGTATGAGCCAAAAGGCAAAATGGGCTAAAAAGTCCTTTTGAAATAACTTATAAAATTCAACAATATTTAAAAAGCTTCACTGGAATGGGAAAACAACACTTTATACTTATTCCCACGGTTCTAGATGAAATATAACACTCCACATATCTATTCCTCCAGTATAAATTCAATCATTAAATATACTACAGTATAAGATTTCCAATTTAAAGGTAGTGTTTAGAATGTAGGAACCGGGTTCCTACTCGGATTCCCTCAATTAAAGAAAAATACCCAAATGTTCATTATTTCATTTTGTTATTTGGCTATAGTAACTACTACTATGACATGTACATAATACAAATATACATAACAAATGGTGCTTGCTATAAAATCTCTTACCACATTTTAATACTTACTCTTAATAAATCATCTATTCTTCCCTCCTTCTTCTCTAAGTCAGAATTCTTACTGTTTTCTAGTGCAGATATTTTTTCTATTGTGAGGTCGGACTACAGAGACAAAGGTAAAACAAATTTAGGATTAGTCTCAACATGTTATATGTCATCACACTCTTCTCATTACCTTTCTCGGAGGGGTGGGAAAAAAGCACTTGCTCACACAAATGGCCTAGAATCACATGGCTCAAGAAATGAAATCTGCTTGTCTCATCTCATTCTTCAAGTCCTCTGCTGGGTTTCCTATGTCCCACTACACCTACACTTCAAACACATGTTAATTCTGGAATCAAATGTATGAATTCTCACTACTGTGCACCGAACAATGTAGAAACATGTTACTCCAGTAATGAAACTAACTTTGAATAGAAAAGGATCTCATAGGAGACTTGACCCAAATGTCTAAGGAACAAATGCGCCATCTGGTGGAAACACAGAGCAATCAGAAGGGAAGAGAAGAAGCTACCTGAGTGCTCAACTATCTAACTGAGCTGGTGGTGACTTAGATAAAATTCAAATGTGCTCCAGGGAGTTGTATAGTTCTTGAGATTTAAGAAATTCTCCTAGATTGCCAACCATCCTGTCTTGAAGGTAATATATATAGTATCAAAAGAGGCTTCAAGAAAACTCAGTATACTCAAAACTACAAAATGGAAGCTATAGCCACCATCCTTTGCAGATATAATCCTCAAATGTTCAGAATACTCCCTAAATTAAAGAGTTTCTGAACATAATTTAAGGAGTAAGCCATGTTGGTATCTCACATCTGAGAGAAGTTTAGCCAGGTAAAAATAAGTAAGCAGGAAAAGGAATACATTAACTACTTTCATAAATTAGGGAATTAACATTTATTGAAAACCTGCTACAAGTACACTACTAAGAAACACTTTGTATACACTGTCTGAGATCATGAGAACCAACCACATTTTCACAGATGCTTTGTACTAAGAAAAACTGAGGCCCAGGACAGAATCTGAACTTAGGCCACAGTGCCAGAATCTGAACTGAGGCCTTCAAAGTGGAGGTACTTTTCTTCTGTGGAATACTGCAGGAAAAAAAAAAAAAAAAAAAAAAGTGTGCACTTTCCTTAACGCCATGCTTTAGCATAAGCATTTCTGCTACAATACACCAGAAGAGTAAAGAAAAGTTAAAGCATCTTCCAAAGGACTTTAAACACCCATAATGCAAGTTCTGAATATAATACACACAAATAATGAGGTGGTCAGAGAAGACAGAGAAGAATCACAGACTACACAGGTTAGCACTTATTCCTACACAGCAGTTATGTCCCTCACTTGATTATCGATCACCAACCTACCTGGGTCTGTCTGTGCTGGATGGAGATCTGTTTTTGGGAGCTGCAGGAATGCTCTGTGTTGCCAGATCCTGTAGATGAGGGACTGTTTTGCTGAGCCTACAATAAAGGTGCATTACCAATTACAGGAAAGTTTGGCATCTTCTTCCACAAACACTTGTATTAATGCAAACAACTCCATAATTTATATCTCCACAATACAAACCCTTCTTATGAAAGTGAGAAGTCAGGGCCATGTGGCCAAGAAGAAAGTAAAACAATTCAAATATGAGACAAAGGGCTGGACATGGTAGTTGATACCAAGCTCCTGTAAACAGGTTTAAAGTATCAAATGCTTACAAATGAATTTTTAAAATACGAAAATTAGAAAAAAAAGTTATTCCTGTAATAACTTGACTTTTTCACTTGTATTTTCATATGCTTTAGTCAGAAAAGGGGAGTGACGCATCCAGTGCACAGGGGATGCACATAAAGGACTGCAAACCACTATTCAGAATAGACTCCTAAACACAAACATTCAGGTTAATTACATTATATCCTCAAAAGTACCTTTTTTTTTTTCGATACAGATTTAGCCAGGCGTGGTAGCCAGGCGTGGTGGCGGGCACCTGTAGTCCCAGCTACTTGGGAGGCTGAGGCAGGAGAATGGCATGAACCCAGGAGGCAGAGCTTGCAGTGAGCCAAGATCGCACCACTGCACTCCAGCCTGGGTGACAGAGCAAGACTCTGTCCTGTAAGTGTAATTATTAGTTTCATTTTACAGATAAATAAAATAAAAATCAGAGATATTAAGGACCTATGTGGGTTCACAGAGCTAGTAGGTGGAGGAACCAGAATTGGGGGTTGTGTCCACAATAACTGCTCTCAATGACCACGGTAGACTGTTACCACCAGCCTGTGAGCAAACTAGCACTTCCTATACACAATTTCATTGAAGGCTCACAGCAGCCTTATCAGGCAGCATTATTAATGCCATTTTAATGTATCCATTCAATGACTATGTATTAAGTACTCCCTATGTCTATGTCTAAGCACTGTGCTAGGTGCTAGGTGCACATGGCCAAGAGAAACCATAGACCCAGTCCTTACTCTGCCTTAATGAAGCTTACAATCCAAAAGAAGATTTACTAAACACTTAGCAAATATTTGTTGAAAGAAACTGTTGAACAAACAATCATATAATAAATACACAATCACAATTAGGATTAAGTGCTAAAAGAGCATGTAACAAGGCAGATAACCTAATCTAGAGGGTCAGGGATAAACCCTTTTTAAAAAAAGTTTATGATTTGAGGCTGAGCACAGTGGCTCATGCCTGTAATCCTAGCACTTTGGGAGGCCGAGGCAGGTGGATGACCTGAGGTCAGGAATTCAAGACCAGCCTGGCCAACATGGTGAAACACCATTTCTACTGGAAATACAAAAAATTAGCCGGGTGCAGTGGCATGTGGCTGTAATCCCAGCTACTCAAGAGGCTGAGGCAGGAGAATCGCTTGAACCTGGGAGGCGGAGCTTGCAGTGAGCCAAGACTGTGTCACTGCACTCCAGCCTGGGCAACAGAGCAAGACCTGTCTCAAAAAAAAAAAAAAAAGTTTATGATTTGAGGCTGGGTGCAGTGGCTCAGGCCTATAATCCCAGCACTTTGGGAGGCCAAGGCGGGTGGATCAGCTAAGGTCAGAAGTTGAGGATCAACCTGGCCAACATGGTGAAACCTCATCTCTACTAAAAATAAATAAATAAATAATAAGCTGGGTGTGGTGGTGGGCACCTGTAATCCCAGCTACTTGGGAGGCTGGGGCAGGAGAATCACTTGAGCCCAGGAGGTGGAGGTTGCAGTGAGTTGAGATCACGCCATTGCACTCTAGACTGGGTGACAGAGCAAGACTCCATCTTGCGGTGGGGGTCGCTAGGGGAGCGCCAGGTCTATATGATTCCAAATAACTAAAAATGTTCTCTACTCAAGAATGCAGCAAACCCTCTTTTCTTACTAATTAAGGGTCATCATTATGAATCTCAAGTATTATAATGCACTAGGATACAAGCATTCTTTCCTTCAGTTATCATTTGATTGCTCTTACAATACTCTCCCCTTTTACAATGTGTTTCTATACAAATGACTGCTTGAACTATATTTATAATAAGAGCCGATAAGAATCAAATGATTAGACCAGGTGTAGTGGCTCACGCCTGTAATGCCAGCACTTTGGGAGGCCGAGGTGGGCAGATCACGAAGTCAGGAGTTCAAGACCAGCCTGGCCAACATGGTGAAACCCCGTCTCTACTAAAACTACAAAAAAAAAATAATAATCCAGGCATGGGGGCAGGCACCTATAATTCTAGCTACTCGGGAGGCTGAGGCAGAACTGTTTTAACCCTGGAGGCAGAGGTTGCAGTGAGCTGAGATCGCGCCACTGCAAAAAAAAAAAAAAAAAAAAAAAAAGAAAGAATCAAATGATTAAAAGACACTTCTACAGATTTCTAGATACATGGTATATTGGTTTAAATATGCTTATATCTGATTCTAAGTTTTCTTCCAGCAAACTGAGGGTGTTAGAAAGTGATTTAGTGAGATATTTCTAAATTAAAGCTCACATAGGGCCGGGTGCAGTGGCTCATGCCTGTAATCCCGTCACTTTGCGGGGCCAAGGCAGGCAGATCATGAGGTCAGGAGTTCAAGACCAGCCTGGCCAATATGATGAAACCTCGTCTCTACTAAAAATATAAAAAATTAGCCGGGTGTGGTGGTGCGCACCTGTAGTCCCAGCTACTTGGGAGGCTGAGGCAGGAGAATAGCTTGAACCCGGGAGGTGGAGGTTGCAGTGAGCTGAGATCACGCCACTGTACTCCAGCCTGGGTGACAGAGTGAGACTCCATCTCAAAATAAAAATAAAAAAGGCATATATATATATATATATATATGGCCCAATGATAAGTAAAATGCAAAAGTTAACTGAGGAAGTAGGCAGTTAGGAAGTTCAAAGTGTGTGCACTTAACTTCCATGGAATACCATAAACAAAAAACAGTGTGCGCACTTTCCTTAACACCATGCTGCAGTATAAGCATTTCTGCTTCAATACACTAGAGGGTAAAGAAAAGCTCAAAAACTTAAAGCACCTTCCAAAGGACTTTAAATACCCATAATGCAAGTTCTGAATATAATACACAAAATGAGATACCATCAGAGACACAGAGAAGAGAAATCATAGGGATCCTCAGCGATCTCAGGGAATCATAGACTATCTAAGGTTAGCATTTATTCCTATGCAGCAAATATACCCCTCCATTGGTTATTAATCATCAGCCTACATCTGGATCTGCCTGTGCTGGATAGAGATCTGCTTTTGGGAGTTGCAGGAATGGCTCTGTATTGCCAGATCCCATAGAAGAGGAAGCTAAAAGGCCCTTCTACAGATTTCTTGATGTACGGTATATGGGTTTAAATATGCTTATTTCTGATTCTAAGTTTTCTTCTAGCAAACTGAGGGTGTTAGAAAGTGATTCAGTGTGATGTTTCCAAATTAAAGCTTTCTGTAAAAATACACATATAAATAGCTCATTGATAAGTAAAAATGCAAAAGTTAACTGAGGAAGTAGGCAGTTAGGAAATTCCTCAGTTGGGAAGCAGAAAATCCTCATGAAAATGAAAACAATGTTTTCAAAAGGTAAAAGGTACTACACAATATAAGGACCTCATGTGACAATGCTCAGATCAGTTAGAGAAAAAAATGCTGTAACTGATCATTCATTCGACATTAAATGTGATCCTCTGTGCCTGGTCCTATGTTAAAATCTAGAAATGCAAAACTGGAAAACAAAGAGACTATGTTACAAAAAAAAAAAAAAAAAAAAATCCATGCCAACAACCTATATTAATCACTCTGATCCCTCATTCAGTTAAGCTAAATACATTTTCAAGACAACCCCAACAGCACAAAAGGAAAAATCCAAGACGAAAAAACAATGCCTAATCATAGAGTTAACAGATAATTCAATAAACAACTTTAAAAGTAAAGTATCAGTTCAGCACTTGATTTTCAATATTTTATAGTATAAAATGACAAACTGCTTTGGTTTGTTTCATAAACTGAAACTCTGCATTTAGATAACTGGATTAAAGGTTCTTAAGATTAAAAAAAATAAAATAGGTTCAGAGAGGATCAAAAGGATACTGTAGCTACAAAAATTAAAAAGTAAAGAACATGAACAATCAAATTGACAAAATAAGATTATCAAAGTTTAAAAAATTTAATAGGTGAGTTAAATATCAAAATGGACACAGCTGAATACACAGCCAGTAACCTAAAAGACAATGTCAAGAAAATCTCCCAGAAGAGGCTGGGAGCAGTGTGTCTCACGCCTGCAATCCCAGCACTTTGGGAGGCTGAGACGGGTGGATCACCTGAGGTCAGGAGTTCGAGACCAGCCTGGCCAACATAGTGAAACCCCATCTCTACTAAAAATATTTTTAAAAATTAGCTGGGTGTGGTGGAATGTGCCTGTAGTCCCAGCTACTCGGGAGGCTAAGGCAGGAGAATCGCTTGAACCCAGGTGGCAGAGATTGCAGTGAGCCAACATTGTGCCACTGCACTCCAGTCTGGGCGACAGGGTAAGACTCAATCTCAAAAAAAAAAAAAAAAAAAAATCTCCCAGAAGATAAAACAAAAGGTTAAACGGAGCACAAAAGAAAAGAAACGTGAATAGCACAGAGACCCTGAAACTACCTAATGGTTTTCTAGAGAAAAGAACAGAGGAAATGAAATAATCAAAGAAACAGTAAAATAAAATTTCTCTGAAATAAAAAACCCTTTTCATTATTTAAAAAAAAAAAAATCAACAAACTCAAAATAGGGAACTTTCTCAGCCCGGTGCACTGGTTCACTCACACCTATAATCCTAGCACTTTGAGAGGCCAAGGCAAGCTGATAGCTTGAGCTCAGGAGTTCCAGACCAGCCTGGCCAACATGGCAAACCCTGTCTCTACAAAATACATCAGGGCATGGTGTGGTGGTTCATGCCTGTAATCCCAGCATTCTGGGAGGTCAAGGCGGGTGGATCACTTGAGGTCAGGAGTTCAAGACCAGCCTGGCCAACATGGTGA